CAGGTGCTCTATCCATGGCGCCACCTAGCTGCCCCTGAACTTGATGATTTTAAGATGTCTACTGTACATCCATTTTGAGATGTCTGAAAGGGAGTTGGAGATGTAAGTCTAGATGTCAGGAGAGATGTTTGGACTAGATAGGTAGATCTGAGAATCATCGGTATGGAGATGATAATTAAATCCATGAGAGCTGATAAGATCACCAAATGAAACATATTGAGGGAGAATAGAAGAATACATGGGACATGTATAGTGGGTTTTGTTAGTAGGTGTGATATGGATGAGGAACAGTCGGGTAAGAGGCGAATAAGTAGATTTGAGAATTGTCAACATAGACATGGTAATTAAATCCATGGGAGCTGAGATCACCAAGTGAAATAGTATAGAGGAAGATTCTTTTGTGAAGGCAAAATAGGCCATCTTTTGCGTCAATTCTTACCTAGCCTTTAATCACTGGCTGGTGTTGCCTTAAACTGAGACCTAGGAAAGGCCCTAGCTTAAACAGGTCAAGGTCTCCCACTACATTCAAGGCCACCACTAATCGTCTTGACCTGTCTTGGGTTCTGATGACTCAGGAGAAGAAAGTGAGGCTGGTGACTTCGCACAGCTCTGCCTCACTTAAATCCAATTGACTTGCAAGTCATGACATCACCTTCCTGATGTCATGGTCCTTTTCCAGAATGAAGAACAAACCACACACAACAACCTATGATCTGTTATGGTTTCATTTTGAAATCACCTTCTGATGTCATTGGTTCTCTTTGAGATTGCAGAATAAACAACAACAGTATAGACAACGAAAAAGGCCCAGGACAGAACCTTGTAAGACATCTACGGTTAGTGGGTGTGATCTAGAAGAGGTTCCAGCAAAGGAGAGAGGAGTGGTCAGATAGGTAGGTCAAGAACCAGGAGAGGGAATGTTCCCAAAAACCCAGAGGAGAGAGTACTAAGGAGGACAGTCATTGGTGTCAAAAGCTACAGAGAGTTCTACAAAAGAGCTCCATAGCACTGGGAAGAGGCCATTACATTTGGCAACTGAGAGATCTTTAGTAACTATGGAGAGAGCAGTTCAGGTGGAATGATAAGACTGGAAGCTGGGTCAGAAGGGGATAAGAAGAGAGTGGAGGCACCTATTATAGATGGCCTTTTCAAGGAGTTTCACTACAAAGGGCAGAAGGGATATAGTTGGAGGATCACGTGAAGTTTCTTCAGGATTAGGGAGACACGAGCATGTTTGCAAGCAGTAGGAAATGAGCCAGTAGACAAGGAGAGATTGAAGATCAGTGACAGAGTGGGCAATCTGCTGGAAGAGAAGGGATGGAATGGGATCACTAGCACAAGACTGGTTAGTCTTGGAAAAAAGTAAGACTATTTCATCATGTGAGTCAGGGATGGAGGAGGAGATGGTGGCAGAAGGCATCTGAGTGACAGATGAGGAAGAGGGAGCTTAATGTGAAAGGCCTCTTTTTTTTTTTTAAAGCAATTGGGGTTAAGTGACACAGGGTCACACAGCTAGTAAGTGTCAAGTGTTTGGTCTGAGGCCGGATTTGACCTCAGGTCCTCCTGACTTCAGGGCCGATGCTCTATCCACTGCATCACCTAGCTGCCCCTAGGCCTCCATTTTTTTTGGCAAGATATCAGACAAAGTTCTCAGCTGATAGTGGGGGTATAAGGGAGTCATGGGAAATTTGAGGAAGGATGAAAAGGTTTGGAGAGTGGGATGGTGAGCTGCTAAGGCAGGTATGGCCTAACAACAGCAAGGGCCCAGCTGATGTTGTATAACACATCTGTAGTGAATCCAGTTAGAATGGTTGCGTGTTTTTCTGTATCTTCATTCAGTAGCCTGTGTGTAGGCATGAAAGTGACAAATGGTGGGAGTGAGCCAAGGCTGAAGCTTGACTAGACATAGTTGGTGATATAAAGGTCCTAAGGATTCAACAGAGGACAGTGTAGAGTTGAACTGATTCACAAGGGATCAAGATGGGGAGGAGAGAGAATGGCTAATTGCAAGGGAGATGGCCTGAGAGGTCAAGGGATTGGAGGTCATAGTGTGGAAAAAGAGTAGGATATTTGTACGGCTTCGGTTTCCACATCTATAAAACCAGAAGGTTGGAGTAGATGATTTTTAAAGATGATTGAAAGTCTTTTCCAGCTCTAAATCTTGTTATCGTTCTCATCCTATCCTTCGGTGAAAAACAGGATTTTCTTTGTTGAGCCCTCCCTATTGGAATAGCTGTTGTTTTTTTTTTTTTTTAACTCAACCTGTGATTTCACTGGTATAAGCAACTCCTAGTGAGGAAGGTCCCTTAACCAAATGAGATAAAAATGAGATGATGTAGTACAATATTTTGCCATCCATAAAACCCTGTGAAAATATTAATTATTATTACTAGCAATGCAGTTTGGTATCTTCTCTGCAACTTAGTCTTAGAGCTGTTTGGAGGCAGAGAGGGCGGGCCTGACATGTCCGGGGTCACATGGTCAGCATTGTGGAAGTGGGAGGATTGAGCCCATGTCTTCTTGACTGAGACCAGTTTTTTGTGCTGCATGAAACACTACTTACCACAACACCTACAGGCATAAGGAACCCAAGTTAGCCTCATACCTCTGGCCAGGGGTTAGACTGAGGGCTCCCTCTTACCTGTACTGCACAGCAGTTTTGTGGGAAACTTTGTAGTGAATCATTTGTATACTCCAGGGTCAGGGTTTTGTACAAAGCAGAGTAGCTATCTCATTACAGTCTACTGAAAGCTAACCCTAAACTCCTAATCAGAATTGTCTATAGGTGCAATTAGCTGCCTTGAAAGGAAGTGAGGTCCTCCTCACTGGGGTCACTAAGCAAAAGGTGGATGATCCCTTGATGGGTATGTTACAGAGAGAACTCATGTTTAGATGTTAGATTAGATGGCCTCTGAGACATTGACCTAACTCACATTTTGTGACATTGCACAGAGCAGAATTTCCTGGAGTTAAAAAAATAACGCATTTAATTTTTTGGTGGTTCTATTGTTTTCATCGCTACAGGTATCCCTTTAATATATGTAAAGAAGGCATTATCCTCTTCATTTTATAAATAGTGAGGCTAAGCAGATATATAAACATGCAAGAGTTAGAAAGTAATTCTGACATTTCACTGTCCTGCCCCTGTAAGTGAAAGGAGGTTTATGAGAAACGAGTATGAAAGAACTACTTACAAGGACCACTTCTAAGATTGGCTAGACCCTGCGGTGTGACTGCCTGAATTTCAGCAGCTCACTGCTTTCCTGTGTACACCATCACAAGTTTGGAGGAAAGCCCTCCATCTGCCAGACAGACAAGTATGGTCAGAATGAGGATCTGCTATGGGTTATGACAGGTGGGTGATCTGCTGCTGGGGAAGCGGAGCAGATGAGGGTGTAGGCTTCTGATCTGACAGGCAGCACAATCTCTAGCTTCCTGAAGAGATCTAAAAGTTTCCCCTCCCCCATCAGTACAGCGGTGTGGGAAACATGTAGAAGGAGGCATATGTTGCAAAACCTGATCAGTGTGAGAGTTGTTTTGTAGAAAAATGACCAATTAAAAAAACAAAACAAAACACTACCTCAAAAAACCATTAAAAAAAAAAAAAAAGGAATCCCTGTAAGCCCAGGGGCCAGTTGGAGCCCACAGCCTTAAATCTGGCTACTCCTGGTCCAGGAGTTTAATGTCTCAGGAATCTTTGCCAATATTTTGGGGTGGGGAGGGATTTTGATATGCTTTGGAAATCTTATCACTTTAATAACTGGAATCAGTGTACCACTAAGTACATCATTTGCTCCCAAAGTATTCTCTATTGCTGTATTGTAGTGTGGAAAATAGAAGAGAGATGGCTGAACACCAAGAGCAGAGTGCCAGGTTTGGAATTGGGAAGACATGGGTTCCTAGCTTAGTTACTTAACCTCTCTGGGTTTCAGGTCCTCATCTGTAGAAAGAGAAAGTTAGACTAGATGGTTTCTAAGCCCCTTACAACTTGAAATCTATGATCCTATGATTTATGATTATTAGAATATTGTGGTAATGAGTAAATAAACCAAGTTTTCTTCCTTTTGATAAAGACCACTCATACATGTGCTGTTATATGTAACATACAAATCTTTATTAAGAAGTAAAGTGCTCAGAGTTAGAAAATTATTAAAATTCTTGATCACTGTAGAAAACCTAAAACATGGAAGAGCTTCTGACTAAGGCTAGTGGAGGGTAAGGGATGGAAAGAAAAGGAGATGGAGGCAAGATTACATTCTTCAATGACTTAAGGAAGATGGCAACCGTTGTGAAGAAAAAAAAGACAGCTTTATGAAATCTTTACATTTAAAATAAAAATAACATAATAATACAGAGTATTATAAAAGACTACTACTGGCCATGATACTTTTTGGCACATGGTCAACACACATACATGGATATTCCATGAAATTTATTGCACTTCAAGATGAAGTTTGTTCCCAAGTAACACGTTATTCTACACACATACACACACACACACACACAAACGCATGTGCACACATGCACATACCCTAGTGATACAAATACACTGATTTCTTATTTAGTAAATAGGTTTTTTTGTGGCGATATAGCATATTGAGAAAAAAGTGTAACATTAGAAGGAAAACGTGCAAAAGTCAGGCTGAGGAAGTATTTTGAAGGAATGTGGCATATTTTTTCTAGAAACCAATCTAAGGGACATATTTGCTTATGTTTTCAATTAATGGATGACCAGCAGTAATTCTTGTAAATAACTTCCATCATCCAAAAACCCTAAATAATCTCGCCTTATCTATTTCCTTCAACTCTCGATGTCAGCGTCAAGCCCTGAAATTTCTTTCTTTTCCTCTTGTTGCTCAGTCATTTTCAGTCGTGTCTGACTTTTTTGACTCTGTTTGGAATGTTTTTGGCAAAGATATTGGAATGGTTTGCTATTTCCTTCTCCAGCTCATTTTACAAATGAAGAAACTGAGGCAAACAGGGTAAAGTGACTTGCTCAGGGTCACAAGCTAGTGAGTATCTAAGATCACATCTGAACTCAGGAAGATGAGTCTTCCTGACGCCAGGCCCAGCACTCATCCATTGCACCGTTAGCTTTGAGTAATTATAGAACTTTTCACCTCTCAGAATTTTTTTTTCTTCAGACAAATATACCATCTCTACTTCAGAATGTAAGGCTTCAAAATTTGGCAGCTGCAAATCCAAAATAAACCAATCTTTCAATGATGGTCTAAGTTTCAATACCAAAACTTCCTTTCCAGAAAGCTGGGTCATTCTGGTTATATGGTATCCTAATATTAACGTTTTAATCAAGTAATTCTTATACAATTTGAATCTTTTAGTACATACATTTAGTAAGTCAGCCCTGATTTCCCCATTTGGTTATATCTCAATTTGAGAAGCATAAAGATCTTTTTTCTTTCTCTTACCAATGTGTACAACAAAATTTAGTTTAATTCAATCTTATTCAAGGACTTTGGGTTACAGAGGCCACCCTGGGATCAATCTTTAACTTTATCTGTCCCTATGGATCCATTCAAACCAATGTTCATGTGACAGCTCTGCCATGTTTTTACTTCTATCTACAGGCTTAATAAACAATACAGAAGTGGACAGTGATTATAAATGTGAAATAAATGTGCTAATCAAGCAAAGAGATTCCAAGCAGGACTATTCACCCTTTGGCTTAAGAGGCCCTGTCTCTCTCATCCTTCATGTACATTTCATACTGGACACCCTGTTGAAACAAACACTTTTTAAAAAAAAATTAAAAGTAAAGCTAAGAACTAAGCTTGATGTGACATGAAGTGTTCAGATAAGGCTGAGCTGAAGTTAGGACTGCCATGTTCCCTCAACTATTCTGCAAATATGACATAATATTGACTTATTTTGGGTTTGGAAACAAAATCCTATTCTTTTTTTTTTCTTTAAAAGCATTATTGCTGCTGGCTTAAAAGGTTATGATGTGACATAGTAAAATTCACAACAGCAACCCAATACTGCTTTCAGTATTTTTCAATACTGAATTTTTCAATACAATTTTTCAAAAGAGATTCGGTCATTTACGTACTCAATAAAGAGAAAAAGAAACAAAAATCTTCCTTCATGTATGGGGAAAATCTATATACAATAAATTAAAGTGCAGTGGAAAAAAACCAATTGGTCAAAGGGACCACCAACATCAGACCTTGGTCAGGAGATATAAATAGTATATTCACTACTGCAATTCAGGATGTGTTGGCTTCTCATTAGAAAGGCACAGACTATCCATGGACACTGGCGCCTCCATTTCCTCCTCCACCTTCTATGCCTTCTGTAGACTGGGACGATGAAGGACGGGAACCCCTTGGACGTGGCTGGCCATTTGGCCCCACCGGAGTGCCTAAGCGCTGACTTATTTGGGAAGCTGCATCATCCGATTCCCAGCGTTCCAATTCTTCTCGGACTAGGCGCTCCATCTGCTCCCTGTGTATTTCATTATCGCGACCAAGTCTTTCATCCTAAGGGTGAAGAAAGAAACAAAGATGATGATAGAGGATGCAGAGCTTAGAAGTTATAGGAAAAATGAATGCCTTTCGAAATGTGGAAAAATGTGAATGGGTTTAGGGAATCTGGTAAGGAATAGGATTAATCTCACAGCACATCTGTAAAATGAGGGTGTTCAATTCCATAACCTTTAAGGTCCCTTCCAGCTCTAAATCTATGATCTCATGATCTTATGTCTACAACTCACATTCAGAAATATGAATTTATTTATATATGTTTAATTTATAATATAATTTATAAATATTTAATCAGGTTCAAAAGATACTGTGAAAGTCAAAAGTGAAAAATCACAAATTCTGATTTCTTCTATGCAAAAAAATTGGGCCCATTTATTAGAAATATTACCCAAATCATAGAGCAAAATTTTATAGCACTTTTGTGTGAAATTTGTTATTACACCTCTATATTGGTGGAAAAATAGATATTTTTTCTGTAAAAAAAAAAAAAAAGAGGGAGATTTCCATGGTTACTTTTCAAACCAAACTCTTTCCTTCATATACAAAGATGGTTCTACCCATTAACAAGGTGCACTGAGTCAGCCAGTTTGCTTCTCTAATAATGTGATGGGTTTGTGCTAATCCACTCATATGCTCACGCTGTTCTCTCTTTTGACCAACAGCACAAATCGGCAAGATAATGACGAGAACTAGGGGTGTAAGCTACAGCCCCAGAGCAGAACTAAATAAAATGATCAACTAGGACTTCTGTGCTTTGGGGAGGATGTCGTACTGTGTCAAGTATGACTCCCTGCTTCTCATCGTGAGCCAATGAAATATCCACTCTTGGCTTTATTCTTACATTATCTTGTGCTGCTCGAATTAGCAACTGGCCTGCATGATGCTATTGTACCAGGTACTATCACCATTAATATTGTAGACATTGCTGTTGAAGAAGTGTGATTAGTGTCACTCAATTTTTATTCTACTTCAGTTGCATCACAGAACCTCTTACCTCTGTCACTCCATCCAGCAGCCTTCCTAATACTTCTCGTCTTTTCAGTTTGGCCCTCTCCATGATTTCCAGCTTCACGATGACAGCATCAATTTTGGAGACAATGCTGCCAATGGAGTGTTCCATCCGGTCTACTCGTCTCACCAGTCTGCAGGAAACCAATGGTTACGAGAAGACACAGTCTCTACCTTCCCTCATTTTCTTTTTAGCCTAGCAAATTTTTTTTGGGGGGGGGGGGGAGAAGGGATGGAAAGGGCAGGCAAAATTGAAATGAAACAATGTAACAACCTGAAAAAAAGTACTTTATCAGATGGTTATTTCAATTACAAAGTCAAGGTGGTGATGAGAGGCAGTGTTTATAGTTAAGAGTGAGTCCAATAATGGATGGCTTTGGTTTGTCCCATTAAAATTCTCATTAATAAAAACTGAGCCAAACCAAACATGCTTACACTTGAAACTCTTCATAAGAAACTCCACTAGAGCTGCTCCCCCTCCTTCGAGAGCTGTGCCCACTGTCCTCGTCGTCGTCCTCTTCAGAATCATCCAGGTTCCGTGGGAAGCTGCGCATGCTCATGGGTCGGGGCAGAGAGCTATGATCCAGATCCAGATCCTCCTGCAGAACGGACAAACTACCGGTAAGAATGAGGAGGCTGGAGTGCCTCCTGGAAGCCAGGCACTGGAGATACAGAGAAAGGCAACGGCCCCTGCTTCCCAAGAGCTCGCCGTCTAATCGAGGAGACGATGTGCAAACAATCACGTACAGACAAGCTGTAGACAACATACATTGGAGGGAAGGTGGTACATTAAGAGGGATTGGGAAAGACTCATTGCAGAAGATGGGAATTTAGCTGGGACCCGAAGGAGTCTGGAAGATGGAGATGGCATAGGGGACAGTGAGTGAAAATGCCTAGAGCTGGGGGTTGGAGTGTCATGTGTCACATATGATGGACAGTCTCATGGTCGAGGAGTATATGGAGGGGAGTAAGGTATAAGAAGACTGGAAAGATAGGTTATTAAGAGATTTAGATTTCTTTCTTTTTTTAATTAAAGAGGTTTAGATTTCAAACAGAGGATTTTCTATTTGTTCCTAAACCCACTGGAGTTTATAGAACTGGGGGTAGAATGGGAGGTGTTGGTGACATGGTCACACCTGCACTTTAGGAAGATCACTGACAAATGAGTGGCGGATGCACTGGGCGCTGAGACCTGTGGCAGGAGAGCAACCGGCAGGTTGTTGTAACAGCCCAGGTGTGAAGTGACGGGGTCCTGCATCAGGGATACCGCAGGGTCAGGAGAGAAGGGGGTGTATGCGAGAGACACATGGAGGGGAGAAACACAGGATTTGACAAGAGTGAGGAGTTGATGACATCTAGGCTGCAAACCCAGGTGACTGGGAAGATGGTGTTGCCATCAACAGTAATATCAAACTCAGGAATGGAGGGGAATTTTGAGTGAAAGATAATGAGTTCAGTTTGGGCCACATTGGGCTTAAGATGTCTGGGAGACTTCCAGTTCAAGATGTCCAACAGGCAGTTGGAGATGCAATACTGAAGTTCAAAAGAAAGGTTGGGGCTGGATAAATAGGTCTGAGAATTATCTGCAAAGAGATGGTACCTGCATCTGTGGGAGTTGATGAGGTCACCAGATGAAAAAGTATACAGGGAAAAGAGAAGAGGGCCCAGGGCAGAGCCCTGGGGGACACCCACCATTAAGCAGGCACGACCTGGAGGAAGGTTCAGCCAAGGAGGAGCAGTCAGAGGGTGAAGGAGACTGAGAAGGTGTGGTCTGAGGAGAAGGAGAAAGAAGAGTCATGAAAACCTAGAGAGAAGAGAATTTCAAGGCGAAGGGCAGACTGGCTGTGTCAAAGGCTGCAGAGAGGTCAAAAGGATGAGGAGCAGGGGAAGGCCAGTAGATCCAGCAATTAAGAGATCATTTATCAGTAACTTTGGAGACAGCAGTTTCGGTTGGATGATTATGCTAGAAGTTAAACAGCAGAGAATTAAGAAGAGGGTGAGAGGAATGTAAGTGTAGCCACTGATTACAGACAACCTTGTCAAGGAATCTAGTCACAAAATGAGAGGAGAGATAGAGGGTGATGGCTGGTGGGGATGCATGATCAAGTGAGGGGTAATGGCTATTTGTGACGGTCTCTGTCTACTGAAGCTACTTGTCTACGGAAACTTTTCTTTTAAATGGAAAAGTAGGCTTCCCAAATCACCCACCTTAAGTGAGTTTCTCCCTAGGCTCAACTCACAGGCACTAAGAAAACATATCCCATTCAACATGCATTTATTATACACCTGCTATATATTCCAGGCACATGTGATGTAGACAGCAGAGACCTAGCCTCAGAGACAGGCTGGCCTCCATCACATATGGCTGACTGTGTGTGATCCTGGGCGAGTCACATAAAACCATAATCATAGAGCAAGTACAGTTCTGCATTTGTAAAGGGAGTTTCTTGGTGCAGAGTTCCCTACACTGATGAAATCAATGGTTTGTTTCTGTGCCTGAATTCTCCCCTTCCCTCCCTTCCAATGTTCCCAATGTGTTAGTTGTTAAAATGCAAAGACAAAAAAAAAAACCTCTCAAAGAATTTGCATGCTATCAAGGGAGAAAACAAAATTCTGCGATTTTATCAGCAAAGATATGCTCATTCACCAATACAAATAGCAACCCACAATAATGGCTAAGAAGTGAGTTGCTGTGGTTGAATGAATTTATCACTTAATGGCAAATCTTCTGGTGTGAGCATATCCAAATTCAGCCAGGCTGTTCCTTGGACAAAAGGACACCAAGGCTCTCATCGGGCTTATATTTGAAGGCTTTTGAATTTGTGCTGGCATAGTCTGAAAGAACTTAGGGTCACTTAAACACCACAATGAACTTACTGGAAGCTTAAATCACATATACTAATGTTAATCATAATTAAAAATAGAATTAGGAAGGTTAATCAACAGTGCATATGTAGACACAACACATATTCTATGGTCAAATGCAGAGAATGAGTAGATTTGCTGTAAAAACGCTATCAGAAGGAGTCCCTCTAAGTCGTTAGCCACACCGCCTCAAACTAGACATACCCTCTCTTTTTCTAAGTCATCTCTCATCTGCTGGTGTTCATGTTCAGTCAACTCTTGGTCACCGTCCTGATCGTATTTTGTGAATATTGCCTCAATCTCTGCATCTGTGTGCCCCTTCCTGAAAACAGAGAGAATATAGGTAAGAGGTCAGTGAGTTCAGTGGTCTGGCACACACAAGGAGAAGAGGTGAATTCCTTAAAGGAAGCCAGACATCTCTGTAGCAATCATTGCAGAAGACTCTTGTCCCTGTCTTGGTGCACATGCATTTAGACATCACCAACACCACCACAAAGCAAAGATTCAATATTGGCAATTACTGGGGCTTAGGAAGGAGGATTCTTACCCTTTCAGATCTTGGCGAAGTTCATCAAAGTTTAACTTGCCTCCACCTTGCTGCAGACTCTCTGAAATGTCATCCACGGTGTTTTTTTTAAGTTTCAGTTTTATCATAGCTTTATGACAGCCCTAAAAAAAAATGAGGCATAATTCATTTTATCCTGATTTGTCATTTTATTCACTTTCACCCCTACTAGTCCACAGAGTAGGTGGGCAAAGCAGGTAATGGAATGTTATTGCTCTGTAATGAGTAGTGAAAGGGTCAAATTCAGAGCAGACTGGGAGGACTTGTGTGATCTGATGCGTAGTGAAGGCAGCTGAACCAGGAGAACAATGTGAACCACAGAGGAATAAAGAAATGCAACTCTGAAAGTTTTAAGAATTTTGATCACTGCAAGGAGCCAGTATTCCAGAGGCCTGAGGATGACGCATGCTACATACCTCCACCCAGAGAAGTGAAGGACTCAAGAGGCAAATAAGACATTTTCTGACATGGGCAATTTGACAATTTGACAAGATGTCTTACTTGACTACGTCTTTGTTACAAGGGTTTTTTTTTTTTTCTTTATCTTCAATGGGGTTAGGAGGAAGGAGAATGTAAAAGTAAGAGAAGATAGGGATAGGAAAAACAAGGGGGAAATCACTGAAGCATTTCTTTAAAAAGTGCATGGAAGAGACCAAAAGAAAGGTCAGAAAGAAACACAAACAGGACATCTTTGAAATTTATATGTTGAATTTATTATATATTTAGAAAGCAAAAGTAAGTTGTATATAATATTCATAGTATAATGTAAAATCTCTTCTACACTGTACATAAAAATCACTATTTTCTTTGTTTTTTTGTTATGTTCAGAACAAGAAACCAACAAAAAAGAAAAAGTAAAGAAGAGATACACAGGAAGAGTTATATCAACTGATTCTAGGCAAAATAAACAGAAAAGGGAGAACAAAATATACAACTACTATAACAATTCACATAAAATGAGCATTCAAAAGAAGCTGAACTCTGAAGAGTAATGATTAATTTGAGAACGTGAGACCAAGCACCATAGATGGGTGGAGACTGTGGCTGGGGAAAGTGGCATCTTCTATCTGATGCTGTCACTGTGTTTGTATTTGATTTTCCTTAAATGTCTTTCTTTTTTACAAGAACAAGTGTGCCTTTGTGTGTGTGTGCGTGTGCGGGTGTGCACATGGGTATGTGTGTTTGAGGAAGTGATTGTGGTGTAAAAACAAAGGGCACCTATAAAACTTTTTAAAAATTTCCAATCAGTGGTTCCAGAGGTAGTCCACTCAGTCCTCCCAATAAGGTAATAGTTAAACTACAGAAAAATGGTTACATACTTTTTATTTCAAAGAATCTCCAATGATCAAACAGTTTAAGTGAAAAACTTTTTAAATTTTATAAATGTCATTTGATTTAGGAATCCAGCCAAATACGAAGCAGTTATGTGAATAAATTACTACCTTTCTGATGAGATCTGACAGTTCCATTTCAGTCTTCTGCTGAGCCATATCAGATTTAACTTCAGAGTATGTGTCATTGATGATGGCCAAAAACATATTCTGTTTAAAAAAAACAAAACAAAGGAAGATATATCTTAAAGACCATTTTCAAATAATAATTAGAAAAGCCCCATGGGCCTTCTGGGGCCTTTTTACTGTAATTTTGTAAATATTTGAGAATAATTTCTGATAGTTTTAGTATCAGATGTTGTAAAGCATTTTCAACTAATCAGCCAATCAACAAGCATTTAAAAGCACCTACTAATTGCTAAGGTGCTAGGGCTAGAGATACCGAAAGTGACACAATTTCTACTTTTAAGAAGTTTACCTTTTACTGGGAGAGAGAGAATTCTATATGGACACAGGATCATAAATTCTGATGAACTGATTCAGAGACTCCTATGTCCATAAAAAAGTACAGATAGAACATCTGCAGAACAAATATAAAACAAATACAAGATATAATAGATAATTCTCAGATCTATTTATCCAGCCCTAATCTCTCTCCTGATCTCCAATCTTGCATCTCCAGCTGTCTACTGGATATTCTGAAGTGTATGTCCCCTAGATTTGTTAAATTCAACATGACCAAAACAGAACTTCTCTATCTTTGCCTCCAAACCCTCCTCTCCTCATAATTTTGCTATTATTGTCAAGGACACCACTCAGTGACTCATATGTGAGGGGTGAATTAAACCCAGGTCTTCCTGGCATCAACTCCAATTATCTACAACGATATGTCTCTCTTTTAAATAAAGCTTCATAACAAGATTTTCTGAGCAAATATCATAAAGCAGATATATGGAATTCTGTGTTTTTTTCCAGACTACTACTGTTACAGTGTCTTCAATTAACTTTTTAATTTTTTTTCTTTTAAAAAAACTTTTACTTATTAATTAAGTCTGCATTTAATAACTAATAAGGATGTGGGAAGACTTTAGCATCAAGACTATGCAGGGTATTTACTGCTTCAAAGAATTAAAGCTGAATTTGACTGAAACAGCTGGAATATAACAAAGCCTTTGCTAATGGTTGGGATTTCCAGTGTTTCTTGTATGTTGGAAGTATATATGTTCTTTTTTTTTTAACTGATTTAATCATAAACACGTTAGGAAGGAGTAATATTTTTCAGATTAATAATAGTAATGAAAGCTCACATTATATCATGTTTAAACATTTAACCAAGTAGTTTACTTACAACAACCTTACAAAATATTAGTATTATATTTATATGAAAGGAAACAGAGAGTAAAAGAAATAGTGATTTGCTTGTAGTCATCCAGCTAGAAAGTGACAGAGGTTCAGAGCAAGAAGGCCTGGGTTCAAATCCTACCTTTGATGTATACTGGCTATGTGGCTGTTTAACTTCTTAGGGTCCTAGGCAATTAAGCCTCTAAGCTGTAGAGTCAGTTTTCTAAGTTTTTCATTAATTCTAACAGCTTCTTGGCTTGTCTTTCATAATCTGTCTTGACTACAGTCACATCAATGCCAGAGAAGTGAAAATTTGGGGCAGTATTCTTTAAGAAAAAAAGATTTGGTTTTTCCTTTGCAAGCTGCAGGGTTGAGAAAGACAGTTGCCTTCTTCACTTGGGCACTGGAAAGAATGAGCTGATTTCCAAATAACTGGGCTTCTTGACAGACTGCTGTCCTTAGTAAGTTATCAAAATGTTTTCTATACACTGTTAGGGTTTTCTGATCCTAAACCTGTATTGCCATAGTCGTCAGGGCTTTATCAATCTACTGTGAGGACTTACAGGCTTTAGAATAATGGAAGACTTTAAATGAAGATTCTAGAGTGATACGCTAAACAGATGCACAGTAATATAATACATGCATATTATCTTCTGGGCCACTATAATTCTCCCCAGAACTCAAGCGCCTGGTCTAAGGTTAATTGGTGAGTCCACAGAAGCACCTGCTCCCGAGCCGGGAACAAAAACCAACCATCGGAGCCCCTCTTTCCTTTCTCAGGAACAACCATTCTCATCTTAGCAATATGTTTGAGGTCTTCCTATCATACTGCTTAAGGATACTCCTACTACTAATTATAATTAAACATTTTTAGACAGTGATTAATTCCAATCTTGTCTTGCCCCCTGGCATCATGTGTAAGAGCCCCCAGAAGCCCTCTAGTCCAATATCTTCATTCTGGTTAAGTGACTTGCTCAGGATCACACAGGTCCTTCTTACCTTTCCAGTCTTTTCACTATTTGTGGCCCTTCACACATCGGACAACCTGACTTACTTGTTCCTCCCACATCTCTGCCTTTGCAGGGGCTGTTCTCCATGACTGTAGTGCTCACCTCCACCTCCACACCACTCACTTCTTATAAGACTCAGCCATCCTCCACAGGACACCTAACCAGTCTCCCCAGCCATGTGAGCCTTCATTCTGCTCCATATGTATCTCATGTGCGCTGATTTATTTACATTTTCTCTCTCCAATTAGAATGTAAAAACTCCTTAAGAACAAGAATGGTTTTTGCATTTTTGCTTTTTTTGCATTCCACAGTGTATGGCACATTGTAAGCACTAGTAAATACTTGTTGATGGAGTAAGGGTCAGAGGCAGGAAATAAACCCAGCTCTTCCTGACTCCATCTCCAATCTATTTATTCCACTGTATGCACTCTCACCACACCCTACTCGACTTTTTTTATTTTGGCCTGTGACAGGAAGAAGATGCTTAAAACATGCTATATGCATTGAGCAAGATCCCAAAGTGGACTATAAAAGAAAGAATGCCTAGTAATTTGGGAGACATTTAATCTCCTCAAAGGTTACAATTACACTAAATTAAACTCCTAATCAATAACCGACACCATGAATTATGCCGTCCTAAAGAAAATAAAACCAATACAATACAGAAAAAAATTTTAGATTTGGGGTTATAGAACCTGGGCTTTAATCTTATCTTTATAACTTATTACCCTTTGTGATTAAAGTAAGTTACTTAACCTCCCTGGGGCTCAGTTTCCCCATTTATAAAATTAAGAGGATGGCCTAAATGACCTCAGAGGTCCCTTCCAGCTTTAAATCTACATGCCTGCAACCCTAAGGGCCTGCTACTAAATCCTGATGGTGACGAACCTGATGAACTTTGAAGATGTGCTGCAGAGGAAAGCACACCAGACTGATGTGGTCACTGACTCTCTGGGTGACCTTAGCAAGTCACTGAAACTTTCTTGGACTTTTAGTTTCCTTAACTATAAACTGAGGAGAGTTGGATTAGATGACCTGGACGGTCCCTTCTGTATGCGCACACACACACACACACATGCATGCGCGTATACATATACATACATATGTATATATAAAATCATCCTAGAAAATAAAAATGTACTAAAATTTTAATACAATAAATCCCAGCAATCTTGGTTCCAGAAAAGAGCTGAGAAAGCAAACAAAAGTAGAGGACTATGGGAATGGAATGTTGCTTATACGTCAGAAGAAACATGTTAAAAAAGCAATTCAGCAAAATTAGTCGATACGTTAGTCTTGTTTTCTACAGCAAACTCTGGACAATGCTGAAGTGCTACATGTGAAATGATGGACGCTTTACTGGTTCCAACTCATCCTTGCCTCTGATGAAGTGAAGGCCCCCAAAGAGCAAACAGTCATGGAGGGTAGGGATGTGTTATACCTGCACACGCTGAAGACCAGTCCTCAGCACTTCATCTCTTTATCCATTTCAACAACAGTACAGTATCTCGGGAAGCTTCCTCAGACTGTTGCTATTAAAGGGCTACATTTATACAAGTGGGATCTCAAAAATGAAGAACAAGGTGGAAGAAACAGTGGGATTGGAAAGCAAATAAAAGCACAAACCACTTCATCATAAACATAAATGTACATACCAAAAGAATGAAGAAAGTAAAGAACACAAAAGTAGTGAAGTAAATGGGTCCCAAAACTCGATTAGCTTCCTCCAGTTCTGTGAAGTTGAAGTCTCCCAAAATGATACGGAACTGAGTGAAGCTACAAAAACAAAACAAATGTCGGGCAGTGGATTTAGCATTTCGTACTTGTGATTTCACAGTTTGGGACCTTATCAGCAGGATAACTGCCAACAATGGAAGGAACACACATTTTGTCTGCTTCGAAAATTACTGAGCACTTTTAGAGGAACCTCACCATTTATACCAACAGATTTCTGGAAAGATAAACAGATTTCTGTAACTTAAACATGTCACTTTATAGTTGGATAATGAAGGAGGAAACTGCACAGATTAACCATAAAGCAGATTACAAAGTGACATGTCCTAAGAATTCAATGGGCACCTCTGACAAAACAATTCTAATAATCACAAAAATCAGGGTAGATTCCAACAGAAAATCTGCTGAAAACTAGAAGAATTTTTATTGAAGGATATACCCACAATGCTAAGAGTCCAAATGTCTAATCTTAGTTGGCACCCCAGGTGAGGGTCTATGGAGTTGTGGTGGGACTGAAGATTCGTCCAGTGTTGGCAGTGTGGATCTTAGTGAAACCTAACAAGTCCTTCTCTTATCAGTCAACAACATTCATTGGTACCCATTATGGGCAAGGAACTTCCCTACTCTCTTCTCATTTCCTAATTATTCCATGTGGGTTATCTTCTCTCCAGAGCATGATGTTTCCAACAGATGCTTGCTCTTTTTTTGGAGTGTGGGGGCAGGAAAGAGGGAGGGAAGAAACTTTTGTGGGAAATTCCAAGACTAAAAATACTGTCTGAATGTGCTTTTGAAAAATGAGGGTTACAGAGTTTTATTCACAGAATTATTAGAAAATAAAAGGTAAAGCCACAACTTTCAATGCAAATACAAACTGGACTAGCATTCCTATAATGGCTAACATTTACATTTTGGTGCTTAAAAAGTCCTGAGGGTCAAGACTACTTTAGTAGAGATGGTTTATGGAATTAAAAGCTAAATTTCATTGAGCAACTAATGCAATGATTAAATATAAACATAAAAAGGCTAGTAACCCTTGTAAAAAAGATTATTAAAATAAGTGCCAGCATTCTAGAGACAACTACTGTCTTTCTAATGCTATTCTAATATTTCTGTGAAAGTCAATTACATTATTACTTAAAATTTTAAAAAAAAATTGGTCATCAAGGAACAGTCAAATTCTTTCACAAAGTCCCCAGGACACAAAGATCATGGCCATGAAGCCCTTGTGAAAACTGCAGATGTACTTACATACACTCCTGGAAGGTGCTGAAGTCATCAACCTGGGTGCCGAAGACAAGGTAGGCCAACTGAGCATATGCAAGAAAAATAATCAAAAACATAATTGCAAAGCCAACAAGGTCCTTAGCACAGCGAGACATGGTGGTGGACAGCTGGCTCATGGTTCTGTTGAAGTTGATGAATTTAAAAAGCTGCAAAAGAAACACAAATTGGATCTAAGAATTCTACAAAGCATCAACCTTCTATGCCTATAACCAGGCTTCATTAAACTTCATTTCAAGTGGAAAAGTGCTGCCCTCACAAAGGTCAGGAAACATAAGAATATAAAAAACCTGCTCTTCTCTCACCTCTCCATCCCCAGATAACCAGTCAAGTGCTTGTTAAGCACCTGTTATGTACTCAGAGTCGTGCTAAGAGATTTGGAAGACAAAGGGAGCAAACTCCTAACCCGGGGCTGAGCCACCTCCACTGGTGAGTGACAAATACAACGAGCCCACTATACATGGCCCCAGGATGCACACCAGACTGTTTTATCCACCTTGCTGCTGCCCTGCCTCTCACCACCTGAAATGGTACCTCCAGGCTGGATCACCAGAAAGGATCACCCATCTCTTCTCCACCCAGGAGATGAGGGAGCTAATGCCCTCTTCTTTGAAACTCCCTGTGGAGTGGTCTTGACTGAGTGAGGGCAAACACCATGACCATATACTCTTTATTTTACTATAATAATAATAATTATTATTATATATGTATATATACTATTATTATTTATTATACTTTTTATTTTATGCAACAGTGATTTCCATCCCCATCTTCCTTTTCTTCCCCAGTATAGTTTCCTATCTTTCCCATTTTTGCCTTCTCCTAAGACCATTGTAACAGAACAAAACCATCTAAAGACCTTCATTCATTTTAGTTTTTCTCTATGACCTTTAAAAATATTAGGGTTCGGAAAAGACATTTGTGTCTTATACCCCTGTTAACATGAAACAAAAATTAATTCCCACATATTCCCTTTCAATTAAACAAATATAGATAGTATGTTTCTTCTGACGTTTGCATTTCCATTTCCAAACGTCTGATCAGGACATCATCATCAGGCCTTTTCATCAGGAATCCTTGGAAATTAAAGGCACATTTCCCTTTTCCTTCTTACCCTCGTTCCCAAGGATTATACTCAGTTTTGCCAGATAAACAATACTTGGCCACAAACATTTGTCAGGATCCCCATACCAAGACCATCCCTTCTTTTTACTATTAGGAGACACCCTGTTTTTCAGAGTTAAGGCCCAGCAAGCAGGCTGTGTCCAGAGCTTGGCATAACAATTCTTTGTGCTCACCCTCTGGATGAACTCTACTGCAACAAAATCCCAGAACTGTTTCACACCAGCCCCAGGTGGTCCCTGAACTTGGGACAAGCACGTGCAGATACCATGTCCCAATCATGAAGCCCTGCTATGAATCACACTTGCCTCATTGCTACTGTTACCCTATCATTGTCATCGCTACAGCTCACTGCATAGCCACTCTTATACGTATCAAGGCTCAGCCTCACTGCAATGGGTCTCCTTGGTATCAGATTAGACCTCGGCACGTGTGGCTATCCCTCTTCCAATGGAATAAAGCAAGCTTGTTGCTTGTGACCACTGTTAGCTTTTTGGTACTTTATTTTTCAGAGTTAACAGTTGGTATATAACCCCTGAGAACTTTTTGGTATTTTCAGAGTTAATAGTGGTCCCACTGCTGCTGTGATTCTTTGGTATTTATTTTGTTTCTCAGAGCTAGCAGATGGAGCATTATCTCAGTGAGCTCTTTGGGATTTTATTTCTCAGAGTTAACAATGTTGTGACTCTGGTCATTTTATTTTTTCAGACTTGACACATTTATTCCTTGTCTTTGGAAATATAATATTTCAAGGTCTCCTCCTCTTTATTGTGGAAGTTGCTTAATCTTGTGTAATTTTTCCTGTGACTCCTTGGTATTTGAACTCTTTGTTGGCTATTTGTGGTATTTTTTCTTTGATCCAGATGCTCTGGACTTTAGTTACGATGTTTCTGTAAGTTTTCATTTTAAAGTGTCTTTCTGGAGATGACCAGGTAGATTCCATTTTCACTTTACCCTCTAGTTCTTGGGGTTCTGGGTAATTGTCATTTATATTTAATAAAAATATCCAGATGTTTTTTCTGCTCATAGTTTTCAGATACTCTTATAATTCTTTTGAAAAGTGCCTTGCAAATCTTAAAGCACTAATTAGATGCTTATAATTGTTATGTTATTATTATTACCATTGTTATCTTTACTTGACCTGTTTTCTAGGTCACTTGTTTTTTGTATTGTATTTCTTGAATTTTCTTTTCTTTTTTTTGTTCCTTCTAATCTTTTGGTTTTGCTTAAATATTTCTTGTTGTCCTACTGTATTGTCGTTTTCCGTCTGACACATTTTAACATTTAGAGCCTGAGTCAGGTTTTCCACCATTTGTCTAAAGTGTCACTTTCCCCTGCTATTCTTTCCTCCTCAGCTTTTCCATTCTGTGTCTCTTGTTTCACTTCCTCGAGATACTCCTGCAGTCCCTCTTGCTAGAGGACTTGTCGGAGTATCACTATCCTCTTCAGGGTTTACCTCCTGGGTATCTTTCGAATCAATGCTTTTCCTCATGGTGTTCAAAGTTTTCCATGGTTTGCTCAGGGAGCAAACTCAGGGATCTTCACTTGGGTCAAACTCTGCAACTGAATGGGGTGGGCAGGGCCTCCATTGTCCTGAGGATAGTGGTGGGCAAGATGAAGCCTCTCCTTCAAGGGACTCTGGGGCTGTTCTGGTTCCAGCTGGGGCTGTTACAGCACTCTAGCACCTCTCTGTTTTTAGCGATACCTGGGGTCCTTCCTCCCTGCTACTGGGCTACTCCTTTGTTGGGCTCCTGACACAGTGTCAGGACTATTCAGGCTGGATTTTGCCCAGGACCCTTCTCCCAAAGCTGGGCTTGGGCCACTGGTACCATTTGACCCCGCGTGGGTTGACTCTGCTCTTTCTGCTCACCAAGGCTAGGTCTGTGTTCAGGTGCTGCTCAGGATGGCTTCGCTCGGCTCAGGCTGGGAGTGCTAGGTTGTATGTACCTGCCTCGCATGCCCAGAAGATGGTATCTGGAGCTGGGCTCAGTCAGCCAGACATGGATTTGGTTTGGAATGCGGTGCTTTTTGGTTCAGTCCGGGTACGCCACAAACCCAGAAGCCTCAAATGTGGCTCTCCTAAAGCCACAGAATCAGGCAAGGCTCGGGCTAAGTCTGGGGACTGCTGAGCTCGGGCGGGCAGGGAAAGGCGGAACTGCCTGAAGGTTGAAGGAGCTTCCTCTTCCCTACCTTTTGTGTTACAGGACCTCTGCAGGACTGTGGGAGTCCTTTTGTGGATTCCTGGATTTGGTGGGAGATTCTAGAGGTCATCTTTTCTATCTGTTGGTGGAGGTGCACATTCTAAGCCACGAGGGAGTATTTTAGGGGGTTCTGGGATCTTCTGCATCCCAGTAGGTTCCCACAATCCTCTTGGCATGCTACGTGAGGCAGTCGGTACTCTATACACCACCCCCAAATTACGTTGGACTTATTGCACATACACTTAGATACATGTTCTACACCCAGAGAAAGTATGAGATCCTTGACCACAAGTGTTATTTCTCTTTTCTCTTTGTTTCTCTGGTGCATGATACAGAGTAGTCAATCAATAAATACTTACTGATTGATTGAGATGTACATGAGGTATGGGATAAGATGCTGGATCCTGCAATTTGGAGCCCCAAATAGGAACCCAGGCTGTAAAACCCCACCGAATATTTTACTACACAGCAAACACAATGGAAGGAACATTGGCTCTGAAGTCAGAGGACCCAGGTTTAAACCCTGGCTCTGATGCTTACCATATGACTCCAGTAAATGATTTAACCCCCCTAGGCCTAAGGCTTCCCAACTATAAAATGAGTGTGGCAGCTAAACTATATAGACTCACAGGTCCCTTTAAGCTCTGCGCAGTGTGTGTTCCAAATTAAATTCGGAATAAGATTCTGCAGAATCCAGATGGAAAAGAGATGGTTATCGTTGAGCACTACCATGTCTAGTTTTTCACCTGTCCTGTGTCCCACCATCCTCACTTTTCTGCTCAGCAAAAACCAATCACTTTCTCCTTGCATTCCCTGGTCAAAACCAGACCCCATTCCAATGATCACTCAGCAGTCTGGAGCACTCATGTGTTTACTCTGGGCTGAGGCCGTACAGCCTTCTTCATATAGAACAAGACTTAGCAAGTTTCACGTATTAACAGACATTGACTAAGTCCTGCAAGAGTGTAGTAAGCTATTGACAATGAGATCAATTATATGTCTGCTAATCCCATAGTTTAACTTTATGCCTCAGACTATGTGAAACACATAAATTACCTTAATCCAAACAAAGAAGACCATTACAGCTGTCACATTATTGAACTGTATCTGCCAGTATGCTAGAGGCTCCAAGTTGGGGAAAGTATTTTGATCCTCAAGGTATTTCAGCAGCAATCCCACATTGGATTTCCTGTAGATGTCAATTCCTATAGCTACTATTGACAGCTAGAAGAAAGAAATAGGATCAATATTTACAAATTCCGTTGTCTTAAGACCATAAACTTAAAAAAAATCATTGTTATCTTTTGTTTTTATATCACCTTATTTGCCAATATATATCTCTCCATGCCTCTCCCCAGAGTCATGCCTTCCAACAAGCAATAACAAAAGAAGAGAGAAGGAAGGTGATTCAGCTAAAATATCAGCTAAGCTGGACAAAATATGTAATGTTCTGCAACCATAGTGCTCTACCTTTGCAAAGAAGGGAAGGAGGTACATTTTTCCTTTCTTCAAATAAGATAATAGTTGTAAAGTACTTAGCATAATGCCTGACATATAGTAGGCATTTAATGCATGTTTCCTTTCCTTCCTCCCTCCCCATTTTCTTTAGGGCCAAAATTAGCCATTATAATCCATACCGTTACATGGCTATCACTCAATATATTTTAGTCAGAAAGCATGAGTGCTGCCCAAAGTCAGTCAGTGTGTGTGTGTGTGTGTGTGTGTGTGTGTGTGTGTGTGTGTGTGTATGTTTAGGAAATAAAACCTAAAGAATAATAATCTTCAAATAGATAGCCCTAAGAATAAAAAAACCAAAAAACAGCATTCTTCAATGTGTTTAGGATCTATGGTTTCATTAGTGTCAGCATTAAGTCCACAATGCAGATCACAACTCTTCTATCCATTAGAAGATGGTGTCTCTGAGTCACTGTAGCCAAAAAAATTATTACCCAGGCATCAATCTGGTGATCTCCTAGTTTATTCAAGCTGGCCCTAGAACACCATCACCAGTTTCATAACCAATTCCTTTTCACCTTAAAAAGACCCATTAGGGCTTACAGCATGCTGCCACAGGCTCCACACAATGAGGAGGCTAAGATAAAGCAAGGCTTATAGTTCTGATTTTGTACTGAGACTTTATAAAATTAATTGTATCAAATGAAACTGGGGTATGAACAACTTAAAGGAATTTCAAGCGGCAACACCCTGCGCGTATGAGCAAGATACCTGTAAAAGGCTTCTAGATTGAGAAATGTATTATGGGTACTGTCGTTTATAATCTCTTTCCCTCATGGCGCCAAATCTGGGTAGGCAGATGATTCACTAGTTTTCTAACTGAGAGGAAGGAGGACTTAACTCAGGAGAGATATCTGGGTTAAGTACAGTTAAAAAAATACGTGTGTGTGTGTGTGTGTGTGTGTGTGTAAAATAGATAGTATGCTATGGAACTAGAGAATCATCAAATTCTATATAAACTGAGAGGCAGATAGCACAGGGATCTAGTGGGGTCTAGAGCCAGAGGACCTGACGCCCACTGGCTGCCACTCTGCTACTTCTGCGTGACCTTGGGCAAATCACTTCACCCAAAGAGGTCTTGGTTTCCTTATCTGTATAACAAGTAGGTTGGACCACATGACTTCTAAGGTCCCTTTCAGCTCTAAATCCATCCTCCTATTAAATGTGGAGGCTTGTAGATTCTCTAAAAGAAGGTGCTAGGAAATCTTTTAGTTGATTTTTAAAAACTAGGAGTATGATTTATACGGTAATAAGAATTCTGATCGATACAATGACCAACCATGACTTCAAAGGATTAATGATGAAGCATATTAACATATACTGACAAGACAGTGGATGGACCAAGGTATAGAACAAGTGTTCATTTTGGGCCATGGAAAATGTGTGGATTTATTTTGCTTTACTATTTTATTTCTGAAAAGGACTGTGCAAGAAAAGAAGGTTATTGAAGAAATTTTAAAATTAATAGAAGGGACCTGAAGGACATTTAGAGGGAAACAGACAATCAGGGAAGTTTTGAAAGTAACATGTTAAATTTATTACATACTTTTTAAAAAGGAAAGTAAACTGTGTACAACAGAATACCTGGTTTCAAATATAACCCTCTTTTTCTGTTCTATTTGGCATATAAATGTGTTCCTCTTTTTTTTTTTTTGGTGTTTGTTAAATTCAGAATAATAAAATAAGTAAATAAGGTATATGGTTATTGCATTAGAACCTACCGCAATAATCATGATATCCAGACAATTCCAGAAACTTCTGAAATAGTGCAATTTGTGAATACGAATTTCCAAAATCTCTTCCACTATATAGTAAAGGATAAAGAAACAAAAGGTGATCTCACAGGTGGCCAGGAAGAAATCAAATGTTGAGATGTAGTGGATCAGCTTCACGGGCTGAAACTGCCAAGATGTAATCACTCCACCAGTGGCTGGGAACTCAACCAATAATCTATATTGCAGTAAAAGAAAAAGCTGTAAGTGAATATCTCCGAATAAAGACGGTAGCCTGTTCTTATCCAGCACATATATACAAAGCATCATATAAAGTAATGAGCAAGATTCCACAAACCATTCCCAAAGCTGCCTCGTTCACTGCAAGGGCACCCTTGGAACATTACTAACTTGCTAATAAGTACTTGCCTGGCATGCACTCCAGCTCCATGGGGAAACTTCTCAGAATGCCTAGTTTTCTCCAAGCTTTGCTCAAACACCACCTCCAACAGGAGGCCCTTCCTGATTGCCCTTACAGTAGCCTCCCCTCAAAATTACTTTAGATTTATTTGCATTTATTTTATATATGCTTGTGTATGTTCTTGCCTCCCAGATAAAATGTAAAATCCTTGAAGGAAAGGAATTTTTTTTTGTTTTTGTCTCCCCTATGCCTCGCCCCCTTATCTCCTATCCCACCCCCATTCCCTCACCACCCCTACTCCAATGCCTGATACCTACTGAGTATTTAATAAAAGCATATTTCATTGACTGGTATCTTTAGGGACTCAGAAAAAAAATCTCATTGCTTGCATGGAGAGAATTTAACTATTTGAGATACTAATAAAAAAATCTTTTCAGAAACTGATCTTTTATTGCATTAATAGAATCATATGTTTGGACGTGGGATGGTCTTTGGAGAAGCACCAAGAAATGATAACTTCACACAGGGCAGAAGACCTTTGTATCAATCTCTTTCCCAGGCATAAGCTGCTAGACCATCCACTTGGGGCGGAAGGATATGTTTCCCCCTTCACTGGAATTAAAATGACATAGGAGACTGGATATGGATTGGCCAAACACTGGATATAACTCCAAATCTGGCAGAACTGTTAGGGTACACTAACAGATAATGACTGAAAGGGTTAACTGCCTAGCTGTAGATGCTAAGAGGCATCTAGCAGCATTGAATTCTTTAATAATCAGTCTGGAAGGCTATTCTCATTAAATGGCTATTATTGACAAAGAGGTGAAGTATACCTGTACACTCAATGTCTCTGATGATGGTGGTAAATATTTAAACGAGGAGAATTTACTAACAGTCTTTCTTGTCAGCTTTATACTACACAAAGGTCGTGCTACTAGTGATACCATGGTATCACTACCCTGAGGTAAAGAGATCTTCCCAGTAACTCGGTCTCCCTACAACACTAACTTATTGTTAGATTCAGAACAATTAATTTATTCCTTTACCCTTCTCTATAATTTGGATGAAAAATACTGACCTTTATTTATGTCAGCCTGGCAACTAAATTTTAAACAATCCTGCAGAGACCAGGTGTCAGCATAGCAAAGTGGCCAGAGACCAGGATGTTAACACTGCCTTACAAACCAACTAGCTGTGTGACTATGAGGGAGTCACTTAACCTCTCAGGTCTTCAGTTCCCTCATCTGTAAAATGCAGGAGTTGTAATTAATGATGTCTGAGATTCTTTGCAGTCTTAAGTCTACGAATTTAGTCATGGCTTGGGCACTAACTGGACACGTGACTTTGGGAAGTCATTTAGCATCTCTGGGCATCAGTGCGTCATCTAATAAAATGACAAGATAGGACTAAATGAGAAGGTCCTTCAAGTGCACCTCTTCCCTCCTCCATCTGTTTTCTTCTCTGGGCTTCTCACTGAACTTGTTTTCATGCTGACCGGCTAGGGCATGCAGGCTGCTACAAGTCTTGTAGAGGGGGAAATACACTCCTAACACTGTAGTTCTTAAGCGTCCACAGCTTCATTCTTAATCAGAGGTACTTACTAAGCTATAATGGTTTTAAAAATACAGCATCCCAAGCTTAAGCCCTTCGCCACTGCACACAGAGCTTGTAGTGGAAAAGCAGCACATACTCTCCCGAGAACACACGCACCTTGGCAATTCACAATAAGGAACATGGGGCCTTGATATTCACGTCCCCCTTTAGGGAGCCTTCACGACAGTTCTGCAATGAGTAGGGCCACTTTTGCAGAGCCCCTGAAGGAGCATTAAACTCTTTTTAGCAAAACCAAAACCATAATCCTGGGACCCTGGTCAGTTTTTCTGGCTGGACTCTAGCGGCTCTGAGGTGTTTTCACCTCTCAGGCTATAGACAGCAGTGTAAGGAAAGTGAAAGGCACCTTCCCCTCTAATTAGTCATATCGGTAGCACTGACCTAGGGTATCTCTACATATAATGTGAGTGGGGATCATGATCATTAAACTTCTGATATGGATTAGTCCTATCTTCCTTCCATCAATGGAAAATTGATGTGAAATGATCTGCCTAAGACTTCCAGTAGAGTCATTAACAGCTAGGACCAAAACTGGCCTCGGAGTGCCCTCAGTTTTGATGCTACTGCTCTGTTACAGAACAAAACGGTCATACTTCATCCCTGCAGCTACATTTCATTGATCCTCTATAGCCACAACCATAATTTAACAGAGGGTTAAGATGGGGGTTGGATTAAACTGAGACTAAAAAAATAGGGAAACTCTTCCAGCCCTTTCATTTTTACCCTTTTTCCTTTTTTACATGACAGATTTTTCAGTGGAATAGTGTGAACACATAGGTACAAGTTCTGTGTAAATATGACTAGGGGAGACACACTCTTCATTTAGTTCCCTCACATGCCCATTTACCTGGCACATCCTGACCTAGCATCTCTGAAAGTCTGAGACGGTAGTATCATTATTCATATTCAAAGCATGGGAAGGAAAGTTCAAGGGTAGCTTTTATTTAAACCCACACACAGCCACTAACACAGAGCAAGATGGAACTATTGGCTGCTTTTGCCTTTCCCATCCTCAAAGAAGCCACACACCACTTCCCGTTTAGGCGTGCTCTAAACAGAGCTCAGCAATCATTGCAATCATTCTTTTTTCTTTTTGTAAATAATACTATAAGATCTAACATGATATTTTCTGTAAAAACTGATCTACAACTGTGCAAATTTAGGGATGAAAAAATCTAGTTGTGTGGGCATATCAAAGTTGAATCTTACAGATGAGGAGAAGACAGGATTATTATTAAATCAGTAATACAATTAGTTCTTTGAGATTAGCAACTAATAATAGTAGTTCAGTATCATTCTCTTCTGGATGGCGGCCAGAGGTAGCTGGAGACTCTTGGTTCCCTCAGTCCTACAGTATTGCTGATTTCATGCACAGTGATTCTTTCATCCCCTAAAACTTTTCTCATCCCGCAGACTGTGTGCTTCCCCATCCTTCTATCACTTCCTTCTCATGCAGCCTCAGCCTTGAGGAATTCCTTACAACTCAAGGCAGGTGATAGAAATTATCTGCTTCTAGACTTAACGCTTTCCCCATTGCACCATCTATGATTAGAAATGACTTTGCAGGCATGTATGAGCTCTCATTTTTGTCTGTAATTTAACCGTCCTTACAAAAAGTTAAATAGTTTTTTGATCCTTTGGGTGATGGATTATCTGGTTGTCAACCCACTGCTATATCTTTGTACAGAATAATCATAACATCCTAAAGATAATCTAGTCAATCCCTCATTTCACAGATGAGGAAATCAAAAACTACAGAAGTTAAGTGACACGCATTCGTATTAAGCGGACAGTGGGAAAGTCAGAGTTGTCCTGCTTTCAATGAGAAGGGTTATTTTTATCCAAAGTTGACCTGTCTTCTGAAATACAGAAGTTGAGAAATGCATTTAGCCTATCTTTAGTCTGTACTTAGCATGAGTTGTGACCTTGATTATTTACAGAATACTTAATACACTCTCCACCCCACCTGAGTTTGTATATTAAATGGAACAGATACCAGCAGACGATGGCAAACTTAGGAAAATAAGCATTGACTAAAGGTCAGGTCATGAGACATGACTATGGCACAGAGAGGACTAATTCTCTTAAATGACAGATGGTAGAAAAACATAGCTTTTTCTCCCAGGGTAGTTACACTAGATAATCATTCGTACTCTAAGGTTCTATGATTTAATACTTTTAATCCACATATCCAAGAAACACTCAGTATACCACAAAACAATTTTGCCCTTTCTTTTCTTTATCAGTACAGCCCATTCTTTGTCATCCATTTTGAATCTTACGACCCTTATAGTTGTAAATACTCCAAGAATGTATCATCACATACATCCACACGCAAACCAAGATTTACAACATGATCACAAAAATACATACCTGACTACACAAAAGAGATTAATGTTTGCATTGTATACTGAGAAGTCAATAAAAGTTGCCCTTGTCCCTCTGTCTAACCAGGTGTTTTTCTTCAGACTAGCGATCTGTGCTGCAGTTTCGTCTCTGGTTTTCGACAGGTCCAGATAATAGCCAGCCCCACTGTATGTTGCAATCAGTCCCCAGTGACTACTCCCATTTAAGTCTTTTTCATTTGTGTATGTCCAACTAAGTAAAAAAACAAAACAAAAACAAAACATCACAGTCACCACTTTTAGCAACTATAAAGATGTACAGAAACTATGTAATAAATCAGGGTCAGTTACAAGAGCACCCATGAGAGCTGAAGCTCCAAACAGAGACAAGATCAGGAAGTAATATTTTCTATAAATGGATACTTAACAACAATTGAACATACAGAATTAGCTTTCTCTAGAAGTTTTCCAGAAGTAACCCATCCTACAATACTTTTTAAAGATAACTTACTGGTGAAATTTACGGGTCAGGAAAGAACCATCCTAAAATGTAATCAATATAAGATAAGCTAAGATAGGTAAACTCATTTTCTTCTTCATTGATCTATGCAGATTACTCTTCGTAATAATGTTCATTCAGAACCTGTGATTTACAACTCTCAATCATTGCACTACATTGTAACTAGTATATGCTTCTCTCTATCTATCACATACATCACTTCTTACAGCCCAGTAATATTCCATTACATGTATGTACCACAATTTACTTAGTCATTTCTCAATCAATGGACCTCTACTTTGTTTCCAATTCTTAGCAATAACAAAAACTTCTAGTACAAATATTTTGGTATATAGGGGGACTTTCTTCTTATTGAATGCATTCTTGAGGTATAAGCCCAATAATGGAGTCTCTGGTTCAAAGGGAATGGACATTTCAGTCATTTCTCTGGTTGACTTCTCAAACGTGCTTTGCCTTTTGGTGTACATATTTAATAATGATACTAATTGCCTATGGTACCTTTTTAGCAAAATCTAGTTTTTCTGTTTATCTTTTATTAGGGCTATATTTGCTATTGCTTTGTCTCAGAACATGACTACTGGCCTCTGCTTTTTTTACTTTAGTTTGAAGCATAATACACTCTGCTCCAGCCCCTTATTTTAACTGTACTCATTTTTCTGCTTCAAATTTGGGTCCCCCCCCAAAAAAATGTGTTGTTATATTCTGGTTTCTAATCCATTCTGCTCTCCTCTATTTCATGGGTGAGTTCGTTCCATTCATATTCACAATTATGATCGCTAATCGTGAATTTCCTTCCATCTTACATTTTTCTTCCTCCACTTTCTGTCTTTCCCTTATTCCCTCTTTAAGAGTTTGTTTTGCCAAAAGTATTTCCTAATCCCTTCACCTACCCTCCGTCTTATTCTCCTCTTTCCTTCTCATCTTTCCCTCTGGTGTCCCTTCCCTAAAGGGCTGAGAGAGAGAGAGAGAGAGAGAGAATTCTTTCTTCCTCTGATTAGCACATTTGAGGTTCAAATGTTGCCCATCCCCCCAGTGCCAACTTTTCCCTCATTATATAGACTTTTCCTTGCCCACCCCATTTATGTGAGATAATTTTCCTTATTTTCTCTCTCCCTTCCTCCTTCAATGTATTCTTTTCTCACACCCATTCCATTCTTCTTTTAAGATTATCAAAACAAAGCAGAATTCCTTCAGGCACTCTTTCTATGACTCCTGATAATGACAGAGCTACATGTATCATTTCCCCCCATAAGAATGTAAAGTTTAACAGTTTAACCTTATGATTTCTTGGTCATGTTGATTTCTTTTTTAAATGCTTCTCGACTTCTGTGTATGCATGCCAAATTTTCTATTCAGCTCTGGTCTTTTCATCAGAAAGGCTTGCAAATCCTCTATTTCATTAAAAATCTATTTTTTCCCCTTGTAGGATTATACTCAGTTTTGCTAGATAAGTTATTCTTGGTTACAAGAATACCTTTTGCCTTGTGGAATATCCTATTACAAGTTTTTTGATCCTTTTATGTTAATGGTTACTAAATCATTTGTGACCTGACTGGCTCCTTGAATTTTTTTCTTTCTGGATGTTTGTATTTTTTTCTTTGCTCTAGGAGCTCTGGATCTGGGCTATGATATTCCTAGGAGTTTTCATTTTGAGGTTACTGGCAAATTGCCCTCTGGTTCTAAGAGATCTGGGCAGTTTTCTTTTAGGATTTCTTGAAATATATTGTCTAGGCTCTTTTGGTCATAGTTTTCAGGGAATCTGATGATATTTAAATTATCTTTCCTTAAAGTGTTTTCCAAGTCAGCTGTTTTTGCTATGTGATACCTCACATTTTCTTCTATTTTTTTTTTCAGTCTTTAGACCTTATTTTAATATTTCTTGATTTCTCAAGGAGTCATCAGCTTCTATGTGGTCAATTCTAACTTTCAGAAAGTTACTTTCTTGGCTAAAGTTTTGTTTCTTATTTCTAGCTATTAATTCCCTTTTCATATCTTTTCTCCATAGCTATCATTTCTTTTCCTATATTTTCCTCTACCACTCTCATTTGGTTTTTATAATAATTTTTAGTTTATTTGGCTAGGCAATGGGGTTAAGTGACTTGTCCAGGGTCACACAGCTAGTAAGTGTTATGTGTGTGAGGCCGGATTTGAACTCAGATCCTCCTGAATCCAGGGCTGGTGTTCTATCCACTGCACCACCTAGCCGCCCCTATTTTTAGCTTTTTTAAACTTGTTTTTAGCTGTTGTTTTAACTTTTCCAGAAACTCTGGTTGGGCTTGTATCCAAGCTGCATTTTTCTCTGAAGCTTTGTTTCTAGATGCGTTAGAGTCACTCTCTTCCAGGTTTGTGTCTTGAGGATTCATACCACCATAACAGCTCTTTGTGGTGGGATTCATTTTCTATTTGCTCATTCTTTAAGCCTGCTTCTTGATTTTACACCTCACGTTAGTGCTGGATTCTCTGTGGTTCTAGGGGGAATGGCTGGGCTGAGCTTCTGTTCTCTTCTGTCCTGCTGCTTTCACAGCTCAGGCCAGGGGCCTGCAAGCTCTCAGTGCTCCCAAAGTGAAGCAATCCAGGGATAAGTCTACTCACTATCCCCCCCGGTTTGAGCTCTGCAAGTTCCTGACCCAAGTTGGAGTCTGATGGGTTATCCTTGGGTAGAGATTTCAGTAGACTGCTAAAGGACTCGGGCCGTATTCATTTGCTGGGAAGTTTTGCGGGTTCAGAGCAACTCAACTGTAAGCTCCTCTTTGGTCTGCGATTCCTGCCTTGGTCATTTTACTGAAAGTTTCCTGGGCTGGAGGGAGAATGAAGCTCCTGCTCTGCCCTAGAAGTTATATTCTCACAGCTACTGCGTCCTTCAGTTCTCGTTCCTTGCTATGATAGGGCCTATCAGTGATCACTCTTCATCACCCCGTGTGCAGATCCCCCCCCCAGTCTAACCTGCAATTACACTATGAGTGACAGAGTTGCTAATGACGCCTATTCCTGCACCTATCCCTGTTGTAGGTGCAAGGATCCCCTTGGATCTTATCTTGCCCCAGTGCTCAGTCTGAACTTTCTTTCAGTCCCTGGGTGCTATCACGCTCACCGTGTGATGATCTCCTGGCCAGACCATTCCTTAGCGTCTGTAGACCTCTCTATCTCCCTAAGTCCCCCTGGACTGTAAAATTACTCACTGTGACTTTTTCTTGGATTTCCCAATCAGAATTCTGTCTGGTGTTTTTTACATCTTCGTGGAGGAGGTCTGTCGGGAGAGCTAGGCTGTACTTCTTCCCATTACTCTGCCAACTTGACTCTGCCCCTACGTCATAGTAATATATTTAAAAAGCCATCACACAAAAGAGGAATTAGAGTTCTTCTGCTTGGCACCAAAGGGCAGAACTAAGAGTGATGTGTAGATGTGTCAAAGAGGCAAAGCTGGGCTTGACACAAGTGCAGTGGGACACCCAACCACTTGTTTGTTATAGTACAGAGAGGATTCTTCAGCTATTCCCAACAATTCCAAAATTCTGTGAACCAGAGACTGAAAGGGCAACATGCATATTAAACTCAGGGGTGGATACATTCTGAAAAAGATAAGAGTCTGCTTGGCAAAGTCTAGGGTTATAAGCACTGGAAAATTACTGACAACATTTTCTATTTGCTAAAGAACGAACGGAAGCATAGGAGAAACAGGAGAGAAAGCACAAATGCCTGTGAGGAGGAAGAAGTACGTACGCTGTTCCATGCTGGAGACCAAACGGAGCCCTTTCTTCATTGCTGACAGAATAGACATCATAACACTCTTTAATCTCCTCTCTCAAGTCCGGGGGAATAGAGCAAGACCCATTTCTGACCTTCAGCTGACGGATTCGGGGCACTCCCAATAGCAGATTCTCATAGTAAATGAAACTCCGGTTTTCAGCTACCGTTCTGTTGTTGTACCACATCTCCCAGTACAGGCCATCCAGCAAAGAGCCCTCCGTGAACTGAAAGGAAAAGAAAAGGTCTGAAAAGTCAAAATATCAGCAAATACCTTTTCTGCTGCCAAAAATTTCCACGTTGCCACCTGAGCAATCTGAGTGTACACTGCCCTAGTACAATTAGAGTTCTCAGGGACCAGAGGGGCCCTGAAATAAATCTGTTGCCATAATTATCTCTCCATTATTTCTGGTTCTTGCCAGTGTAGATGTGCCTTGTATTCCCTATTTTTATCCTAACCTGTTATGGTTCTGACAGTTTGTCCCAGGGGAATAATAAGATAGACTTGTTTATTTGAGTCTCCTGGTTATACATGTCATTTTATTATGTATATCAGTAGTTTTCAAAGTGGGGCAGCTAAATGTGCAGTGGATAGAGCACTGGGCCTGGATGCTGACAAAAGTCTGGATAATCAAAGCTATGACTTTTCTTGTAGCAATACATGGCTGTGAGAGTTGGATTATAAGGAAAGCCCCATCTGTAGAACTAACACTTTCAAATTGTGGTGCTGGAGAAGACTTTTGAGAGTCCTTTAGATAGGAAGGAAATCAAATCAGTCAATATTTAAAGAAATCAATTCAGGCTATTTACAGGTCAACTACTGAAGCTGAAGATTAAATATTTTGACCACATAATGAGAAGACAGGACTCAATGGAAAAGACTCTGATGTTGGGAAAGATTGAAGGCAAAAGGAGAAGGGGATGGCAGACGATGAAATGGATAGATGGTGTCGTGGAAACAATGAACATGAACCTGGACAGACTTCAAGAGATGGTGGAGGACAGAAGGGCCTGGCATGCTATGGTCCATGGGGTCACAAAGAGTCAGACACAACTGAACAGCAACACTTTTCAAAGTATGCTGTGGAATATCTCTCATATAATGTGAACATAGAAGATCACTAATTATTTGTTAGTATTAAGGGAATGGTCTGAGAGATCTCTCCTGCTTGCCCAGAACCTGCCTATTTCCAATGAATCAGGATATAAAGAACAGAATTTTGCAAAGTACATAGTAAGACCCCACTGGCATATACAAAGGATATAATTTTTTTTTTTTTTTTTACAGTTGCACAGCTTTGATTCAGCTGCAAATCAATAGTGATTTCCTTATTTACTCTGGGACCACTCTTCCTAGTGCCAATGCCCAAGTCCTTGTTCCTCATGCCCTTCTTAGGATTTGATTCCCAAAAGCTTAGACTTCCAAACCTCATCCCTGGGTTTGGGAGAATAGGCAATGGGACTTCCGCCTAACTCTCCTAAGACTCAACCGTCAACCCGGACTAAATATTTCATTTCAAGCACATACTTTGTCATGACTCTAAGCTCTCTAGCTAGGGGGCTTCCATTTGTCCCAAAATCTTTGGACCAGCAGTCACTGAGAGAACAGCAGTAGGGGCTTTGAACCCCCAACACACCCTCTCCCAAGGGACTAACTGAAGAAGGGGCCTGTTTTGTCTCCTAGGGCCCAACCACACCCCTGGATGTCCTTAAGAACCAGGGTCCTTTCTAGCCTGGGGGTAGAATTGCCATTGACCTTGATGAGTGTTAGAGATGGGCAAGTGTATTTTATAGATCAGGGCAAGGATGTAATGGAGGGAGAAAAAGTGCCGGTCTTCCCAATACAGAGAACTCATGAGCTGGGTTCATGAGAGTTCTTGGGTCAATGGAAAACCCAGTCAAAATAAAAAAATTAATTTTCCCATAATATCAGCAGCTCTGATCCCAAGTATTAATAGGGTTTTTGCTTATCAAAAAATAAACATTTTTTCATGACTATGAAAAGCAATCACAGGTTCATGAAGATTTTCCAAGTTTCACATTCTCTGCTTATCTTTTTTCTGTGTACTTTGTCAATTCAAACTCCCACTATTTAAACATTTATGATAATTTTGACAAAGCTGAATTTAAGTTTATCTTTGAAAATATTTTTATAAAAGCTTTGTTAAGTAAATTTAGTGAAAATAATTTGTGGGGAGAAGGTTGAAAAGTAGTTGAGGAGGGAAAAACATCTTCACAAACTTGAAAGGCACTATAAACAAATATACTCAAATTTCAACAAAGCCCTTACTGCTACCCAGCAAATCTTTCTTTTCAACCTTTGTAGACTTTCTGGTAACATTTCTAGTAGTAGTTATTCCAAATGTTTTTGATACTAATAAAGTTCCTAATTCCCTTCTGGACCTGAGCAAGCAATCAATGCTGAATTCATTTTATTCAATTCTGCCAATTATTTCTGCTATGGAGGTCAAAAATTCTGCTTACGAAAGCAATGAAAGAAATTAAGAAAAAAATTTTTTCCTGAACCTTTCAGGAACATTCTGCTGTGGTTTCATGCTCTCTTAGGAATCTAGACTCTTCTGCTTCATCAGGCACTGGTTCAATTTCCTTTGTCTTGAACTACTGGATCAGATGTGTTCAGGCTCCTTTAGATGTCCTTGTGACCATCTTTCCCCAACTGTTATTAATATCTTTCCTGGTGATTTTTCTGCTTGTGCTTAAGGTTAATTGAGTTTTCTTCCTCCTAAGATCATCAGAAAATTCGCTCTTTTCACCTTATATCCCCCTATCACTCAGTTTTTGACTCCTTTAATGGAGGTTCCACTGAGGGCTGGACCTTAAAAATATCTCAGCCTCCTCCCAAGCTGAAGAAATCCCTTTTTACTGGACTTGATTCCTGCTCCACATGAGTTTTGGGGGTATAAACCTAGCTCCTGATGGAGGCCAATCTCCTTTCCTTCAGGCCTGATGTAGCCCCCCTCTTCCCCACATCCATTGTTACAATGTCCGGGGTCCCCTCTAACCGAGCCCTACTTCCCCAGGCAGAGCAGGCTTCTGCTTTACTATGTCTCCTACAGCCAAGTTAGGGGTGAGGGGCAGAACTAAGATCTGTCACTTTGTTGCCACAGAATCATGGGGTGAGGGTATGAATAGAAGAGCAATGACAGATAATACAGCATCAAGAAAGGAATTTCTGAGTGGATCCCAGAGTACAAATATCAAGGCAACCAGAGTAAAGGGTGGAAGTCATTACAAGACAAAAGTTTGACCTTTAGGCAAGTTTCTCCAGAATGTACATGGAGAGTGAAGTTACATGAGTAAGTTAGAAAAAGGAGTTTAGACTCACACATGGAAGAGTTAGTTAACTCATGCCAGCTTGACTATGTCTTAGAACTAAAATCAATTTCCAATTTTACACCTCATTAGGTTTCTTAGTGTCTTAGCGAAGACCACTGAAATGAGTTTACCTTTTGTGCAGAGTTCTGAGGTTTGACAAAATATTGAAAAACGATTTCATCCTCCATCTTCCTCTCTAACCTTTTCTCTTTAACCACATTCCTTTTGCCACCTCAAATTTAATTCATATTTTTGCCCATCATCTCCTTCTGATTTCAGTTAACAGATAGGACTGATTTCACTATGTAAAGTGGTATCCCTTTTTGATTTGAATAATTTTATTAATAGACAGGGTAAGAAATGAGGACACTTGTGAGAGAAACACTAGGGAAAAGATGGCTCACTCAGAATAAAGATGGCAGAATTATCTTGTTTTCCAGCATCTAATTTGCATATGACAAATATGACATCTTTAAGGTAGAGAGCTGGAAAGCCTTCTACTTAGGACTATTTAGGGACTATGGGACAAATAAATATTGCACAATGGTGACTTGGCGGGAAGAAATGTTCAATTTTGGGGGATAATTTCATACTGGAGACTCTAGTGTAGCAGAGGTGACCAGGACCAGACTTCCTAGGGTCAGAAGAGACCTCAAAACTAGGTCTGAGAAGAGTTCTCACAACTGGGACCAGGAGGGACTTTGGGATAGTTCTAGGAACAGACCTTGGAGTCTTCACTGCTATTTCCTCTTTGTAAGAAAATGCCTTGCCACATGCTGCTGTGATCTTTGAGAAGACCTGAGCATGGAGCATAGCTAAATTGGGAAGTGAACTGAACTAAGAGCTGGGGAAAGTTGAGTGCATTAAGGAACAAAACTGCATCTTTTCGTCCAAAAGTAGCTATTAAAAGCAGTAGAACTAATACGACAACAAAGGGAAAATGTTAGATATTGGAGGGGATATGGGAAAACTGGGACATTAATTCACTACTGGTGGAGTTTGAACTGATCCAACCATTGTGGAGAGCAATTTGGAACTATGCCCCAAGGGCTACAAAACTATGCATTCCCTTTGATGCAGCAATACCGCAGCTAGGTCTATATCCCGAAGACATCCAGAAAAAGGGGAAAGGACTATTCTTACGCAAATATTTATAGCAGCTCTTTTTGTGGTGGCTAAGAATTGGAAAGCAAAGGGATGCCCATCAATTGGGGAATGGCTAATCAAGCTGTGGTATATTGTTGTAGTAGAACGTTATTGTGCTATAAGAAATGACAAGTACGATGATTTCAGAAAAACCTGGAAAGACTTACATGAACTGATGCTGAGTGAAATGAACAGAACCAGGAGAACGTTGTACACAGTAACCAATATCATTCAATGAAGAATTGTGAATGAGTTAACTATTCTCAGCAACACAATGAACCAAGACAATCCCAAAGGACTAATGATGAAATATACTACCTGCCTCTAGAGAAAGAACTGATATTGATTGAATACAGACTGAAGCATGCTATTTTTCACTTTTTCGGGTTTTTTCTTTCATTTGGGTCTTCTTGTACAAATGACTAATATGGAAATGTTTTACATAATTGCACATGTATGGCCAATATCTGATTGCTTGCCATCTCAGGGAGGCGAGGGAGGAATAGAGTTTGGAACTCAAAACTTTAAATAAAAATGTTAAAAAAATTAGGAGGGAAAAAGCAGCAGAAGCTAAACTAGTGGTGAACTAGTGGTAGCTAAGTGAATGGAGTGCTGGACATAGAATCAAGAAGACCCGAGTTCAAATCTGGCTTCAAATACTTACTGTGTGACCCTGAGCAAGTCACTCCGCCTGCCTCAGTTGCCTCATCTTTAAAATGGGGATAATAATAGCACCTATTTCCCAGAGCTGTTGTGAGGATAAAATCAACTAATATGTGTAAAATACTTTGCAAATCTTAAAGAACTACATAAATGCTAGCTTTTATTTATTTACTTATTTACTCATTCATTCATTCATTCATAAATTAATAAGTGCCAAGTATGGTGCTAAAAGTTGTGGATTAAAAAAAGCCAATAACAGACCCTGACCTCAAGATGCTCATATTTGAAAGAGGGAGAAAACATTAGGCATATTCAAGATATATCCAGTATGTATTAAAAGTAATCTCAGAGGAAAAGGCAGGTGGGGGATGGGGAAAGGCTTCCTGAAGAATGTGGGATTCAGTGTGAGTCTTGTCCGTTTTCCCTTGGTTTCTGCTTTATCATATGTATGTCATCCACTTTCAAAGGTCCAACTTCTATGTAGATGACTTGTACATTTTAATTTCTAGCTCTGACATCTCATTTCCCACAATCAGCTGTCTCCCTTTGGATTTTCCTGTTCTTATCAACAATACAATTCAATTCAGTGCATGTTAGCTTCTTCAAACATTGGTTATTCTAAATGAAGATTATAATCTGTCAATTCTTCTGCCTGTGTATCCAGCAATTTCCAAACACTGTCATTTTCTAGTTTATCAAAGCCAAACTTTCCTTCCAATATTTGTAACAGTCTGCATCTGAGAGGGAAAACTTTCAAAATTACTATTTGTACAATGTGGCAAAATGTGTTTCCACATCCACCAGCAAATGCTGATTGCAGTAATTTGTTGCCAAGCATAGTGAATGTTTCTGATTGCGCCTCTGATGTTAATATTTTTTTCCAGAAGTCAGTAAAGGAAATTAAATAGATGCCTCTAATTTTAGCAATTGCTTGTTCAAAAGTTTTCCTAAAGTAGTAGACCTAAGTTGCAAGGTTGTTTCAACTTATTTGCAAAGATCCTTAGTCTATGGACTACAATAAAGATGCTGGGTTTCGTGGCAAAAAATATCTATATACTTTTACATACTCCCTATGTGAACCTACGTGTAGCTGGGTGACTAAAATCAGCAATAATTTAAATGCACTATCATTGTCTTTGTAGTATTTTTTAACAGCTGGGCTAAAATAAAACTTAAAAAACTTAAAAAGATTCAAAAGTAGCTTTCGTCATACTTGTTTTCTTACTTGACCAAAGAAAAGAAAGTGATCGATGTAGCCTCTCAGAGTTGGAGGATTTTCCAGGCCCACAAAACAAGTCCTGGTTTACATTTAAATCCTATGCTTCCTTACGTCCCGATAAAAGTATCAGGCGTATCCAATACTTTAAATTCATGTTGAATATTTTCTTCCTGAGAAAAGTAAGTTCTAGAAGACATTTATTTCCAGAATAAGCCTGTTTCAGCCACATTAAAACTTTATTCATCAATATATCCACCTTTTTCAATTATTTTCTTCAAAACATCAGGATATTTAGCTTCTTTGTCTTCAACTGCACTGGTCACTCGTCCAGGAATTTTAACATTATATTATTGAATTCAATGTTTCAAGTGATAGACAAGGAGGAAGAGTTTCACTTCCATTTCACTTCCATTGTCTTTCACTACCTTACAGACTTGAAGCTTTCTTCTGAATGACTGCTCTGCTAAAAGAACTGCATTTCTTTTTTTTTTAGGCAATTGGGTTTAAGTGACTTGTCCAGAGTCACACAGCTAGTAAGTGTCAAGTGTTTGGTCTGAGGCTGGATTTGAACTCAGGTCCTCCTGACTTCAGGGCTGGTGCTCTATCCACTGGGCCACCCAGCTGCCCCTAGAACTGCATTTCTGATCACCATCTTTAATCCATACAGCTAAAAGACACTCCATTTCTCTCACTGAAACACTATATTCTTTATCGTTGCTAGCAAATCACAAGAAGCTAACGAGATTTTGGCTTTAAAAAAATTATATTCTTTTTTCCCCCAATTACATGCAAAAATTTTTAACATTTGTTTTTTTAAAATACTGAGTTCCAAATTCTCTGTCTTCTTTCCCTTTTTCTTTAAAAAATTTTTTCCTGCATGTTTTATAATATTCCATATTTTGCATTCAGCATTCCAACATTTCATTGTATTTTAGAGCTACAATGACCACATTATATCATTCAATTACATCAAGTTTTTGTTTTACTGTAAGAACAAGCCTCTTCTTTTGCATCAGCTGTGTTCCCATCTGAAGCATTCTTCTTTCTCCCATTTTGAAGGAATCTTTTTTTAAAAAAAAAATGTAATATGGTTTGCAGCAGTAGATCATATCCACATGTGACAACAGAGAAATGCAGACTGATGACATAGCAGCACCTTAAAATCCTCAACTAATTCACACATTTCATTAATTGAATTTTGCCTTATATTAAATGTGACCTGATATAATTTTATCATTTACACTAAATCTATTTTGCATTATTTGAAACTTATATTAATTACAACCCAGCTGCATATTGTTCCAATTTTCAAACAGAAAAGACAATAGCATCTGCCAACTACATACCAGCAAGCCTGGCTTTGGTTACTGGAAAAATTCTAGAATATGTTAAAGGGATAGTATGTGAGCAGCTAGGAAAGAAAACAATGAGCACAAACAGCCAGCACAGCTACAGGAAAAATCTCAAAAGGTCATGCCAGACTAATTTCATTTTCTTTTGTACAGAGTTACTAGACTGCTAGGGGAAGCTAGGTGGGACAAGCGAATAGAGCGCCAGCCCTGGAGTCAGGAGGACCTGAATTCAAACGTGGCCTCAGACACTTACAACTGTGCGACCCTGGACAAGTCACCTAATCCTGTTTGCCTCAGTTTCCTCATGTGTAAAAGGAGCTGGAGAAAGAAAGGGCAAATCACTCCAGTATCTCTGCTGAGAAAACCCCAAATGGGATCAGGGAGAGTTGGACATGACTGAAAAAACAACTGAATAACAGCACTAGACAACTAGGCTGGTAGTCTACTACACTTGAGTTAAAACAAATTCACTAGCTCATTACAGGAGAGGTCAAGTGTGGCTGGAGAGCGGTTCACATGAAGACGATCTTGGGGTTTTCACGAATCGCAGGTCCAATATGGGTAAACAGTGTGGCAGGAGGACACCTGTTTGATCTCAGGATGCATTGAGAGGCCACGTGTCCAAAACAAGGGAATTTCACAGAATCGTAGATTTAGACCAGGACAGGCTCTAAGAAGAGTCATCTAGCTTGGCTTCCTCATTTTAAAGATAAAGAAACTGAGGCTCAGAAAGGTTGAAATGCTTGCTCAATGCCGTGTGGAACCACAGACAGATCTCTGGCAGAGCTGAGATTGAACGCTGGTGCTCAGACTCCAGATCGAGGCTCTTTCCACCTCGCCATCAGCCTTAATGAGCACAGCTACCCAGGAGAGCCGTGTGACCAGGCTGATGAAGACAAACAACACTTTTCAGTGATCAAGAGAAGTATTTTCAAATACCTTCCAGAAGTCTTCCATTGTGGAGAGTGTCTTGAAATTGGTTTTCTCCATTTTAGACACAGGTGTTTCTAAGAAAAGCTGCGACATCACCCTGGTGTAGTAGTACATGCTGGAACTTACCATCCCATAGGTCACTGTAGGGCACAAAAGGAAATGGTACCATGAATAAGCAAGTAAACACAGTCAATCACTCAGTTCATTACGTACCTTGTGGATATCCTGAAGGATTGCCATCTCATACTTTCAGGCTGCTTACAAAAAAGAAATCAACATGATCTGACAGTGTTCTCTCACTGCCTGATTCATTATCCAACAATCATTAATTAAAGCAAAGCATTATGCACAAATAACCTGGCTGGCAGAAACAAAGATAATGAAGACTCAGCCTGCTTCCCTCAAAGTCACTTGTAATCATCTCCAGCAGCTGTTTCACAAGTGCATGGGTGTTTCCCTACTGAGAGAGTTAAACTCCCCAAGGACAAAGTTCATGATTTATTCATTACACCAGTCAACCTCCAGCACAAACTCAGCGCCTCCTAGCCAGAGGCATATATATGTACATGGTGTATATGTATATATGCTTTTGATATAAATAACATCTCCTCTGATAGAATTTTAAGCCCCTTGAAGACAGGTACTGCTTTCCTTTTCAATCTTTGTATCATTAGCACTTAGTGCTTGCCACATAGTTAATAATAATGAATAAATCCTTATTTTTTTCTTGATTGACTTAAAGGGAACCTTAATGCATTAAGGAATGATTATCCTAAGGCCAGAGGACTTAAAACTGAAAAGGGACATAGGATCATAGATGGAGAGGTTGAAGAGACCTTAAAAGGCATTTAGTTCATCCATTTTATTTTACAGATGAGGAAAATGAGACCCAAAAAGATAGTGATTTGTACAAGGTCATACAGATAGAAGGTGATAGAGTCAGGTTTTGAACCCAGAGCCTTCCCTCCAAATTCAGTGCTGGTATATCATTCTAGTGGTCTAAGTCTGATGCCCTTGTTTTTACAAGTAACAATACTGAAGTACAGCTAAGTTAAGTGACTTGCCCAAGGTCACAAATGTGACAAATGCCAGAGAAGATCTGGGTCAGCATTTTGCCTGACTCCAAATCCTGTGCTTCTTCCACGTGCACTATCCTCTACTAAGGGTGCAGGATAATATACAGCAAAATACCCCAGCTCGGCAGCGATAGCAATCAAACCACATCGAGTCATATCCTCCAACTTATCTCTCCATTTCCCCATTGTCTCTGCCAGGTAAAATACAGTCCACATCTTCTAAATTACTTTGAATTTTAGAGCTAGAATTAAAATCTTTTTAAAAGAGCTGTTCGTGATTTTTTTTAAAGTATCTGAGTTATACACTTGAAGAATTAGATGCATTGTTGTACATGAGGAAATTTATAACTATTGATATATATGTAAATATATCAACAATCCATATGTAGATTAGATATTTGTCTAATATATAATTAATACATATGTATATATACTGGACAACTAAGGTCCTCTAGGAAGGTATATATAGGGACAAGTTGTGGAGCCCTAGTAGAGAAAGGGATAGATGGAATCCCTCTGCAGAGAATTACTGGAAGGTGTTTTGTATCAAGGAGTCAGAAGGATAAAGTGTCTCTTAACGGGAAAGGTTGCAACAGCACACATAAGGCAGGTAGTGATACAAAAGGATGATGGGCCTACTCTATACCAACTACTTAATGACTGTAGGAGATAAGTAGTGTCCAACATCAGTACAAAAACAAGAGTTTAACAAAGAGAAGGTGCCACCTGATCATTTCCCACTTCTAACTTACAAAGGAGACTAACATTTGCAGGTTTATATTTCGAATCTATAGTTGGTGCTCCAGCACTAATCAGATTTGAGCTATTTGAAAAGTTCATCATACACAATCACTTAGCTACTTGTTATGTTCTCTAGACAATAATAAGAAACTTTTTAAAACTTTGAAATTGTGGGTCCTTTTGGATTCCCCAAAGCATAACTGTACTCTTCTTTAAATGGGCCTCCTCCTTGGAGTCAAGTTTACCTTCACCACATCTGAAATGCCCTTTCTGCCCCCAAATACACAGGACTCTGAGGAAGGCATCATCCTTCATTCCAAGGTGGCTTTAATCGTGGTAGAAATTGAACGCACCCTCCTAAGATTCTTCATCATGCTTCTTGCCAAATTTGCCACAGACAGCCAAAGGCTTAGCATGTATACCTCTTTAGATTGACTACTTCATGAGTTCTTCTAAAAAATTATTTTCAACATTCATTTTTTCATTTCAAGTTCCAAATTCTCTGCTTTTCTCCAAGCCCTTCCCCCATCCATTAAGAAGGCAAGCAATATATCAATTATATAATTATCATGCAAAACATATTTCCATATTAGCCATGTTGCAAAAAAAGAAAGAAAAGTGAAATGAAAAACCATACTTCAAATTGTGTTCAATTTGAGTACTTTCAACCATTTGTTTATGAATATTTTTCCAATGTCCTGAATTCACATCAGTTCCCAAGTCAAAATGAAGATTGTTCTCAGACATCTGTGACATTTACATTACTCTATACAGTCACATTAGATTCTCCATGTTCCTCAAGGACCGACTCATGACAACTTGAAGAATGGACATCACGTCTCTCCTCCATTATGAAATAGGTGGAATTCAGATTGCAATCATTTCCAATAGCATTGTTTGGGAGAGGCCACATGTCAAAATATCCACTGGCCTGGAAATAAGCAGCTTTCAATTAGAGCTATACTGGATGATAATGGGAATGAATGGCGACGAGGGGGATGAATTTAATGTTCACATTAACACTGCATCATATTAAGGTGACATACTCCCTCTGCTGGGTGAATCTTCTGTGACAATAACCAGCTTTGAGTCTGCAATCATGCTGTTGTCTTCACCATAGATGACCTTTGATATTCAAGGAAAAGACTACCATGCTGGAGCTCCATTATCTCTTTCTTTAGGTTGTCTTCTACAACATTTACAAGAGCAAGTTCATCAACCAAATCCTTTATTGAGAGTGACGGCTCATGGTACATGCCGTGCCAAAGGCACCCAACAGCACAGCAGTGATCTTGTGATAGGGAATTTTCTCCTTTATTCATTCAAATCAAACAGATCTTTGATAATTCCCATCTTGGCCCTGAAGAGAACCCAAGTGTAAGAGAAGCGGCTGGTCAAGCTGTGAGCGGCTTTGAGATGCGAAACTACTGCTCTGGGATGCATATCTGGAGTGAGAAGTTACCTCATGCCAACTCTTTCACTTTTACAGATGGGGAAACTAAGGTCCAAAGAGGTTAAGGGCATTTCTCACAGCTTGCTGTTCATTCATGCAGCCCTGTTTGACTCTATGTGACCCCACGGACTTTGATCAAGGGGTTTTCTTGGCAAAGATACTGGAGTGGTTTACTGTTTCCTTTTCCAGTGTGTCCCCATTTCACAGATGAGAAACTGAGGCAAAAAGGGTTAAGTGACTTGCCGAGGGTCACACAGCTAGCAAGTGTCTGAAGCCGGATTTAAACTCTGGTCATCCTGACAACTTTTGGTCATCTATCCACCACACCACCTACCTGCCCAAAGAAAGTGGCCTAGCCAGCAACTAATCAAAGATTAGGACTCAGGTTCTATTCTGACTCTCAATCTAGAGTTCCTTCTGTAGTGCCCTGCTGAAGCCTCAGAAGGCAGTTACCTCTTCTGTTTGGTTTGTATTGCACAGTAGCTAACACCACCATAGGTATCCTTGCATTTAGTGAATAATATCTGAAGATAATCAAAAAGGTCAGAGAGTAGGAAGATAGGAAAGACCCCCAAATAAGGAAGGTAGAAAAGATACAATCTAAAGGAAAAAAAAGGATTTTAAATGGAAGAAAGGAATTATCAAATTTAAAACACAGGATGAAAGAGAATGCACCCGGCTTTTATGAAAAGAAAAACTTCACTAAGCAAGTAATCTGGGCTACAAAAAAAGAGGAGTCTCTGAAAATGCCTCCCCCCATAACTCACCTTGACCACACCCTTACTAACTTTTACTGGGAGGATACTCACAGGCAAAGCAGGTTTATTAGCCCTCAGTTATAAGAGAGGTAGAAAGTATAGCAGGATTATAAGGATGCCAATTTGCAGATGATCCTTCAGCAGCTATTTAGTGGGGTGAAAGGAAGGTAACACATGCTTATTAAGCACCTACCATGTGCCAGGCACTGTGCCAAAAACTTTACAAATTATGTCATTTGATCTTCACAATGTATCCTCATTTCACAGTTAAGTAAACTGAAGCAGGCAAAGGCTAAATGACTTGCCCAGGGTCACGTATCTACTAAGTATTTGAACCGATATAAAAAGTAACCATCGGTGAAGAATAATATATGTCTGAGGCTAAATAATGTTTTATATTTCATAAAGAAAGATCATCCTATCATCTACTATTAGTATGGGAAATAATTTGAGGTGCTTTTCCAATAGTGGAAATGGTTTTTTCCCCCTCTATTTCATAGGCTGAAAAAAAGAAAATGGATAAAAGGAAAGACTTTGAGTTGATTACAACCATTTCCTACTGGTTTACCCAATATAAAGCAGCTGCCATAACGAAGAGGCTTAAAAAGCCCAGAAAGCACCTCAGCTAGCAAACATTGGTTCTTTTTGTCAAGCCCGGAGAAACGGCAGCCAAACGCAACACAAGTTTATATTTTAAACTTATTTGCAAAATACTAAGGTGAAGAACGGAAGAATATTATAGCAGTATTGCCTCACAAAATGATGAAAAGCAGTGGGTGAAAATGAGTCTGCAGAAAGCTTGCCAAATCACCCAAGAACACTCATAGATGAAACCAGAAGGAAAAAAAAAAAGATGGAAAATTCAGCTCAATTAAACAAATATTTTTAAGTACTTAATGTATGTGTAAGGCACTGGGGATACAAAAACAACAAAAATGAAGTAGCCCTTCTTCAAAGTTACATTTTGCTGGGAGGAGGGGAGGTGAAAGGAAGAATAACGTGGAAAAGTTAAGGCAGAATAAACACATAGGAAAGACCTAAATTACTGAAGAAATATTCATTGCTTAGGGGTAAATTGAGCCAGTATAACACAAAAGACCACATAATTCAAATTAATTTACTTAGTGTCATACCAAATGAACTACTGAAAGATTTAGAATTAGAAAAAAATAATAATGAAATTCATCTGGAGAACAAAAAAATCAAGAATCTCAAATAAAATAATGAAAAAGAGTGGGAAGGAAAGAGACTTAGAACTACAACTATGCTACAAAGAAGAATTATTGAAACAATTTGGTACTGGTTAAAAAAAAGTGGTTAAAAATCAGTTGAACAGTTGATATACAACGTCCTGGAGGAAGAGAACATAATAGCCTCATCTTAGAGAAACTCAAAGATACCAGTTATTGAGGTAAGAACTCAATTATTTGACAGAAATTGCTGGGGAAAATGTAAAGCACTTTGGCAAAAAAACTGATATAGATCAACATCTCACATCATGTACCAAGATAAACTCCAAATGGATTCATAACTTAGACATTAAGGATGACATCATCAACACATTAGAGGAGCAAGGAATCCTTTTCAGAATCAATTCAGGAGAAGAGTTCATTCGTGACTAAATAAGTAATAACAGTTATCAGAAAATAAAATAGAGAATTCTGATTATATAAAATTGAAAAAAAATTTGCAAATATAATGTAGAAAAATTAGAAGGGAAATAGGTGACTAGGGGGAAAAAAATCCATGCAATATGTTTTTTCTAAAAAGTGTCTCGTATCCAAGATTTATATGTCAAAGGATATGAAGAGGCAGTTTTCAAAGGAAGAGGTCCAAGCTACTTCATGTGTATATACATATATATATACACATACACACACACACACATACATATGAGAAATATGAAAAAAAGTTCCAAATCACTAATAATTAGAGAAATGCAAATTTAAAAAATTCAGAGGTTCCATGATAAAAGAAGAAAATGACAAATGTGAGGGGGACCTCAGGATAAGAGGCACACTAAATTCTTTGTTGGTAGAGCTCTAAAATACGATGAAATGTTGGAATGCTGAATGTACAATATAGAAGTATAAGAGACTTGAAAAGACCATCTAGTCCAACCTTTGTCATTTTATAGAAGAGGAAACAGAGAACTGGGGAGGCTGAATCACTTGCCCAAGTCCATACAGGGAGTAAATTCAAAAGTGAGATTTGAATCCATGTGCTTAGAACTCAGCACTCATGCTCTTTCCACTGTATCAAGCTGCCTATTTCGTTCTTTGCTGTTCAGTCATTTTTCAGTCATGTCTGACTTTTCATGACCCCATTTGAGGTTTTCTTGGCAAAGATACTGGAGTGGTTTGTCATTTCCTTCTTCAGTTCATTTTACAGATGAGGAAACTGAAGCAAACAAGGTTAGGTGATTTGCCCCAGCTCACACTGCTAGTAAATATCTGAGGCTGGATTTGACCTTAGGTTCTCCTGACTCTAGGCCCAGCACTCTATCTACTACACCACACAGCTGCCCTGCCTATTTTGTTAGACTATGGCATATTTAAGTTTTAATATAAGATTTCTTTTTTGTAGTTTGTATATTTATCTATTTGCTTTATTGCTATTAATTAAATTTATGATTTTAAAAACAAAGGATAACATTCTGGACTTTCTAACTGCCAGACTCAACAAATTATTTGCCCCTCATGTTATGCTTATAGTAATTCTTTTGTATTTTTCTTTTTGTTCAGATCAGTGATTTCATTAATATAGAGAATTCCTGGTGAGGAAATTCTCTCCATAGACGCAGATGGGCAACTTAAAGCCTTACAGGTCTACCTCGGGTACCATTAAGTCACCTGCCAATAATCACATAGCTAGTATATACTGGAGTCAGAACTTGAACCTAGGTCATTATGGCCCCATGGCTAGACTGTGCCATTCTGATTCTCATAGTAGTTAATAAAATCTTACATCTCTGTAAGTTTTGTAAAGAGTACAATACTGTCTTCCTTAACTTAGCATTATGTCAGGCTTAACTGACTTAATTAGCAATGCACTAGTCAATCAGAAAAGGCTGAAATATCATTTACTGTTTAACAATGAACATGAGTCCTTTATTAAATTTTGAATTGTACTGAAAACAATGACTAATCAGAAAACACTTTTACTCTGACCCTTTGAGTGCAAGCATATTTTCCTTTAAACAGGCTTCTGAGGGAGCAAATAAACTTTGTAATGCAAAGAAATAGTCTACTTACAGATACATAAAACCACAAGAAAGAGGAAGTATGTAACCAATTCTCGCAGAACACTTTTCAGATATTTCTCTCTGCTTGTATTGCTTTCTTCCATCAGTCTTGTTCCCCAGAGACCTTAAAAAAAAAAGTAATAAATTAACTTATTTCATTCACATTTCAGATATAACATATATGGCAAGGAAAAAACCTAGAAAAACATAAAAGAGATCTACCATTTAACGCCATTAACTATTTTTCATTACAAAATCTGCTATAAGGTTATACAATTAACCTGTTACTAAAATTTCCACCTTAAAAATTCATAAAATTGAAATTCATAGTGTTAAGTGTAATGGCCAAGATAAAAAGTCATCTAAGTAACTACTACAGCATTTGATACAAATATACTAAGTACACCATCACCTGACCTATAGGTGCTTTTTCTGATAAAAGTGTTTCAAAGGCATCTTTTAATCAATCAGCAAGCTTTTATTAGGTGCTTACTATATGTCAGACACTGTGCTGGGCCCTGGGAATACAAAGACAAAGGGAAAAACAATTCCTGGCCACAAGGAGCTCACGTTCCAATGGCGTATATAAGTTGTATGTAAGTTCTATACACAGATATATTCATAAGATACAGATAAGTAAGTGGAAGATAACTCTGGAGGTGAGTACACTAGCAGCTAGGGGTCCTGGGAAAGACTGCCTGCAGAGGTGGCTCTTAAGCTGAGTCTTGAATGAAGGTAGAGACTCTAAGAGGTGGAAGTGAGTGAGAACACACCAGGCATAAAAGGCAGCCAGTGTGATGCACAGAGCTGGGTGAGGGAGGTCAGCAATGAGGGACGCGGTACAGTTGGGCTGCAGACTGCACTGTGGGGAGTAACGTGTAAGAAAACTGGGAAGATAGGAAGGAGCCAGGCTGTAAGAATGATTAAATGTTTGTTCCGAGAGGTAAGAGGAAGCCACTGGAGTTATTTAATGTGGTGTTCAAGACTTGTCTCACATATGCTAGCTGTGTGATATGGCCAAGTCTGTGCTTCAGGAAAATCCCTTTTGGTAGTAACGTGGAATATGGAGTGAAGTAGAGAAATACATCAGGTAGGGACCAATTAGAAGGTTCTGATAGTAATCCAGGTGAGAGGTGATGAATATTTAAACCAGGGATGGCGACTGTGTGAGTAGAGAGAAAGAAGTATATATCAGAGATGTTGTAGAGGAGAAATGGATTTGGATATGCAGGGACTGGTGAGTAGCTGGACTATAGCTAAATGAGGATAGTTCAGCAGAGAAACCAGAGATGGACATACATAACTAGAAATCACCAGCAAGGAGACGATGATTGAATCCAAGGAAACTAGCGAGATCACTAAGTGACAAAGTATGGATTAAAAAAAAAAAGGTCCAAGACAGAGCCCCGGGGGGACATCCATGGTTATTAGGTACAATAGAGATGAAGTAGTAAAGGAGACTGAAAAAGAGTAGTTAGAAAGATAAAGGAACCAAGAAAGAACAAGAGAACCAAGAGAAAGGAGGAAAGGAAAACCTAGTGAGGAGAGAATGCCTGGAAGAAGAAATGGCATTAAATGTCAAAATGAAGAAGAAAAAAGGAGGAAAAGGTCATTAAATTAAGCAACTGGACCATTGGTAACTGTGGAGAAAGCAGATTTGGTTAAATGATTAGATTGGAAGCAAGATTACAGAGGGTTTTTAGAAGAAATGAGAGGACAACAAGAGGAGGAAACCAATTGTAGGTAGCTTTATCATAGAGCTAAGCTAAAGGCCAATGCTGATAGCTGGCAAGGATGGCCGGACCAACTGGAGATTTTTTTTTTTATAATGGGGAAGCTATAGGCCTGTTTGTAAACAGTAGAGAAACAGCCAGTAAAGAGAAATATTGAATATTACTGAGAAAATATGGATAACAGCAGAGGCAATTTGTCGTAGAAATTAGGAAGCAATGAGATCAACATGTGGAGAGGTTTGCAAGGAGGGCAACCCCTTCATCAGAGACTGGAGTAATAAAAGAAATGGTGGGGGAAATGTATGAGAGATAAAGAAGAGGGGAGAAGGGAGAGCTCAAGGCAAACAAGGTCCTGAGCTGAGAGGAGGGAGGGAAGGGAGTTCTATATGAAGTTGAGGAGAGGCAAAACAAGTTATGCAGAGTAAGAGCCAAGATGGCGGAGTGAAGGCAGCAACCCAGCCAAGTTCTAGCATTTGCCTCCAAACTGTAAAACAATGCTTCGAATCAAATTCTGGAGCAGCATAGACAATGAAAAGTCAGAGTGAGACATTTTTCCAGCCTGAGACAATGAGGAAGCCTGCGACACTGGGGTGGGGGCCAGCCTGAAGCACACATGGTGGCCACACCAGCTGTTGGCCTTGGAGTCTACTGTGACAGTAACAGCAGCGGCTTCTGGAGCTTTCAGCCCGGAAACAGTAAGGAAATTGGACAATTGGTCAGAAAGAGATTACAGAGGACCTAGAACTGACATTGGGTGCAGGACCAGAGCCTGTCTGGCAACTCTCTTGCCCATATATCGTTCCAGGTCACAGCTCCATGGTGGACAGTGCTTGTGGTCAGTGACAAAGGAGCAGGGACCCTGATCACAATTGCAGGGCAGAGAGAAGCACAAATACTTGTGGCTGAAGGGCAGCAGGGGCCTTTCCTGGGACCAGAGCACAGAGGAGGATAGCAGTGACCAAACCTCTCCCCAAATCACACCACTTTAGAAACATCAAAATCTTACAGATGCCCAGAACTAGCTCTGAAAACACCAGTACAAAAAAGCCTGAGGCTTGGGACAGTATTTCACCACCCAAGAGGGTGAACATAATGTTCACAGTCAAGAAATAGGCTGGAAAAATGAGAAAAGAACAACAAAAAAGAACTTGACCATAAGAGACTACTATGATGACAGGGAAGATCAAGACACAAATCAGAAGAAAATAACATGAAAACAGCTACAAGCAAAGCCTCAAAGAAAAATACAAATTGGAAATAAGCTCAACAAGAATTACTGGAAGGGGTAAAGAATGAGCTATGAATGGTAGAAGAAAAATTTGGGGGAAAAAACGAGAGTGATGTAACAAAATCATGAAAAGAAAATTAATAGCTTGGTAAAAGAAGCACCAAAAAATACTGAAGAAAACAACATCTTATAAAACAGAATTGGGCAAATGGTGAAGGAGGCATAAAAATTCACTGAAGAAAAAACTCCTCTAAAAAGCAGAATTGGCCAAATGGAAAAAGACATATAAAACCTCACTGAAGAAAATAATTCCTTAAAAATTAGAATTGATTGAGTAGAAGCTAATTACTCCAGAAGACATCAAGAAACAATAAAACAAAGTCAAAAGAATGACCAAAAAAAAAAAAAAAGAAAATGTGAAACATCTCATTGGAATAACAACTAACCTGGAAAATAGATCCAGTAGAGATAATTTAAGAATGACTGGACTACCTGAAAGCCATGATTTTTTTTTAAAAAAAAAAAGAGCCTAAACATTATCTTTCAAGAAATTATAAAGGATAATGCCCTGATATCTTAGAACCAGAGGGCAAAATAGAAATTGAAACAGAAATCTCTGTTCATTCAGATGCCATCGGCCACCATCTCCTCAATTCAGTACTATCTTAAATCAGGCCTAAACAACATATGCCCACAGGCCACTTGCAGCCTGGCCATTGGGAAGTATGTTGTGCAGGCCTGTTTTACATCCCCTACATTTTTTGCAGGCTGCCCAAAATCCCTTAGCTTGGGAAAAAACTTTACCAAAGAAAATAATTTCCTGAAAACTAGAATTGAACAAATGTTTAATTTGACTCCATGAGATATCAAGAGATATTAAAACAAAATCAAAAGACTGAAAAAAGTAGAAGAAAGCTTTAGATATCTTACAGCAAAAACAACTGACTTGGAAAACAGTTCAAAGAAAGATAACTTAAAAAAAATTTTTTTTTAAAGAGCCTAGACATCATATTTCAAGAAATCACAAAACTACACAGATCTCTTAGAATCAGAGGGGAAAGCAGAATGGGAAAGACTCCACCAGTCACCTCCTGAAAGAAACCTCCCAAAATAAAAACTCCCAAGAACATTACGTCAAAAATCCCGAACATCCAGATCAAAGAAAATATACTGCAAGCAATCAGAAAGAAAGAATTCAAATAGCATGGAGCCATAGTCAGGATTAAACAAGATTTAGCAGCCACTACTACAAAGGAGTACAAAGCTTAGAATATGATACTCCAGAAGATACAAGATCTAGGCTTATAGCCAAGATATACTCCTATGGGTTGGAGGGGAGGGGGGGAAGGGGGGAAGGACCTTTACCAAAATTGTGAACTGATGAAAACACCAGAGCTGAGTAGAAAATTTCACATACAAACATAGGAGTCAAGAGAAGCTTAGAAAGTTACATATAATTAAGCAATCATAAGAGACCAAAGAAGGATTTATAAACTATTTATATTCTTATATGGAAGAGATGATTCATGTATTCCCCTCATAACTATATCATTATCAGGGGTCACAGAAGACTACTAATTAGACAGAGGATCTGGGAGTAATTCTGCTATGTTTTGATGATCTAAGAAAAATGGATAAAGGGGAAGAGGCATACAGTAGGGGACTTGGGGAAAAGCAGAGGGAGAATGGGCAAAATAATCTCACATAACCAAGGTGCCTGAATTTCCAGTACCTAGCACAGTGCCACTTACACATAACAGGTGCATAATACATGTTTAAGGAATTGAATGATTCTAAAGTAGCTTTACAAGTATGGAACAGTCTCTATTGTATTTTATCTTAAGGACAGGTTATTGCCCTAATCCATGCAGTTCAATGACCATACTTCAAATTTCTGAGCACATCAACAAGTGATCTATTGATATAGCATTGTACCATCATCCTCATTAGCCAGTTAGCAAATCTGCAGAGAGCTCAGTCAGGTAAATGAGTAAACTATTCCTAGATTTCTTCAGACAATAAATTACAATGAAAGAACTAATGTTCTACTTTATACAAAGGGTTCATAAAAACTCAGATTTTCTAAATCCCCTATTATACCATAAAAATAAGGGAAGAAAAAGGGACCGGGACGAGACTTAGAATTTAATTGGTAAAGAGAACCCTCAGTTGAGGAAACTCCCTTTACCAACACAATTGGGCATTTTCTCTCCAACTTACAGTCAGAGAGAATTGTCTTCTCCACAGATGTAGGGAACAACTGTCATGTTACAACATGTGACCCATGTGCAGCCAACCTGAGCAACTCTAAAATCCTGAAAGTATTTCACAAGTGCTGCTACCCCCAATGAAAGCACAGCCTTTCAGCTAGAGCAGAAACACTCTTCAGAACAGAAAATCTCCCTTTCTCATCTGAACTTCTTAAAAAAGCTGTCTGTATAAACAATTTAGATTTAAGAAATCCGATTACCACAGTGACCAAACATGACTCCAGATTGTGTGATTCCAGAGGGCGTATGCTACCCACCTCCTTACAGAGAGGTGATGGGCTCAGGGTACAGACTGGGGCATGTATTTTGGGAATGGCCAATGCAGGCATTGATCTGGCTTGGTAATGTACATCATACATGAGTTTTCTTTCTTTTTTTCTTGGTTTGTTTGTTTTTTTTTAAGAAAGGGGGAAGTGTGAGGAAAAGAAAATAAATTTTTTGTTAATTGAAAAATATATATATATTGACTAAACTTGGCCCTAAGGAAGAGATAGTGAAGAGGCACCTCTTTCCCCCTTCTTTATAAAGGTAGTAGACAATTAGTGTGGAACACTACATAAATTGTCAGAATTTTGTTATATTTGTTAATTTTTTACATTTTTTGGTTAATTAACATTTTTCATTTTTTACATTTACATAATTTTGTACATCTGTTAATTTTTCTGAACTTTTAAGTCTTAAAATCGGTTATCAGGAGGGATGGCTCTCTGAAATGAATGGATAGAAACACTGGGGAACATGGATGATAAGAAAACAAAAGACGTCAATAAAAAAATTTTTTTAAAAAGAAAAAGTTGTCTGCACTCATTATCCTTAGTTCTCCTCTCTGACTCTTCAGCCCTTTGCAATCTGGCTCCTGACTTCATCTCTCCAACTAAAACTGCTCTAAAATTACCAGTCTCTTAATGGCCAAATCTGGTGGCCTTTTCTTAGTCCTTCTCAGTCTCAAACTCTCAGCTGAGGGGCGGGGTGGGGTGGGGTAGGGGAAGAACTAACTAATTTCTGAGTCCAGAGCCTCTCCCTGCTCTTAAACAAACAGATCCTTTTCATCACCTGAGCCTTCCTTCCTGTCATATCTTCTCTTCATTTCAAATCAAGGAATTAGGCCCAAATTCTAGAGTGACTCATCGAACCCATGACAAATACACAAGTAATGTTTATTTCCCCCCAAAGCACAGCTTCTGGTTTCTAAATTTAATTTGATTTCTGAGTTGGAACTAGAAAAAGTCATGGATATTCCCCTAGAGAAGTCCCACGAGTTCCCTATGCATGTGAGTGATTTAGGACCGAACTTACTACTATCAAATGCAGCTGTATGAGGGGACAGCACGTGTGAAATACTTTCAGGTTCTATAGAAGATTCTTATTCAGATAGAGAATGGACATAGACGGCCTCTGAAATTGGCCTTCCAATTCTGGGATTCTGAGATCTCCATGCTTTCCATCCCTTCACGTCTCTAATCCATCCTGCACACCACTGCTTGCCTAATCATTGTAGAATACTGACCTCATTAGGTCATTCTCCAAGTTTACAGACTGAAGTTTAAATTCCTCCGCTTGGCTTTCAAAGACTATCACAATGCTACCCCAATTTGTCTCATTTCCCACAAACCCTCTCATATCTGCACAATCGCAGAATTTGAGTTGGAAGTGACTCTAATCCTCCACCACCTAGCACAACTTTGTTTTACAGATAAGGAAACTGAGGGAGATTAAGTGACTTGCATAAATTCACACTAATATTAAAAATCACATAGGGGATTTGAACCCAGGTCTTTCAACTGTACTGCACAGCTAACGATTCCCTCCACTGTTAGGGTACACATTAAAAGACACTATTTAAACACTTGAGACATTTAAACATAATTTAAATACGAGGCTCACGCTCTTTTGCACCATCCACTTAAATTCTACATTAGGGTTTAAAAGTTCAACATGACAGTGGACGACAGAAAACATTCCCGAAAAAATAAACTTGCTAGATAAGCTTTAGCAAGAAATATTTCATAAAACTTCTTTCCCTACAAGAAACTTTGAAGGAGTACGTGCTTTTCGAGTGGTTAAATTCACACTGTGCACCAAAATCCAATTCATTGTTGATCGTTCCAGGGAAAGCCCAAACCCAATGTTTTGGGTTGGTTTGTTTTTCCCAGGCTGCCCGGGACAAAACTTTTCCACCAGAAGCGCTAATTGGAAAACTCTCACCCTCTCTTTTTGATCCCCTTGAAAGTTCCCTGCCCCGCCCCCATCCTCTACACATCGATTATTCAATTCGGACTGGTCAGTTTCAGCAATCTACCCAAAGTTCAGACCCGAAGACTCGGCTGTAAGATTATCTTTTTCTCGCAGCGATTTCTCGGGCGAGGGTCCCACCACCCTCCTGCAGACAAAGCTAAGGCTTTTTGCAACATTGTTTCTACGATCCTGTAAATATGTAACGGCTGCCATGGTGGATACATAGTAACCCCAGAGCACGGGGACATTCGATTTAAAGGCTGCAGCGGTTCGGTACAGAAGCCCAGGCCCGCCGCCCGGAGCCCGGCTCACCTCGCAGCGCCCGCAGCAGCCTCTGGGCCCCGGGCGCCCGGGGCGGCGGCGGCGGCGGCGGCTGCGGCCCGTCCAGGGGGAGGTGGCGGTGCAGAGCCTCTCCGGGGCCCGCGGGGCCGGCGCACACGGGCCCCGGGGCCTCCCTCCTCCGGCGCCGACCGCTCGGGAGGCTGCCGCCGTGGAAGCCGCCCAGCCCCAGGCCGCCGGCGCCGGAGGAGGCCACCCCGGAGGAGGCGGCGGACCTGCGGCTGCCCGGCCGCCACTCCACGTCCATCTCCACCACCATGCCGCCCTCCTCCCCTTCCACCTCGTCGTCGTCGTCGTCGTCCTCGTCCTCCTCCGGCTCGAAGCCCGGGTTGTCCCGGCTCCACGCCTGCCGCGAGCACGCCGACAGGGGCGGCGACGGCGACGCCGAGGCTCCGGCCGGGGGGTCTCGGGCCGCCGCCTGCCGCAGTCGCTCCATCTCGATGTCCAGCCCCCGCGGCTCCCGGAGGCCGCCCGGGGAGGGGAGGCCCGGGGCCGCGAGGCCGCCGTCAGCGCCGGGGGCGGGCCCGCTCAGCCTGGCCCGGGCCGCCGCGGGCTCGGCTCTGCGGGGCGCGCCCGCCTCCAGCTGGGGCTTCACGCGGCTCGGGTTCACCATGGCGGGCCGGCGAGCGGGCGGTCACTGCGGCTCGGAGCGCCGGGGCCCGCCTCGCTCCGCTCGCCAGCGGCGGGAGCCACGTTCCTTTCTTCTGCAGGCCGCCGCAGCCCGCTCCCCTCCCCACCCCCCGCCCCCGACTGCTCCACATTCCCGCGGCGGACTCGGCTTCCTTCCCCCCGCCCCCGGCCGCCCACGCCCCCACCCCCCGGCTCGGAGCGCGGCGCGGAGCCCGGACGGCCCGGGCCGAGGGGGGAAGGGGCCGCGCTGCCCGGGCCCCGGGGGGGGGGGGGACGCGCTGCCCGGGCCCTGGGGCGGTGGAGAGGGGGGAGAGGACGGGCTGCCCGGGCCCCGGGGGGAGGGGACGCGCCGCCTGGGCCGCCTGCCTGGCCTGCCCCGGGCACGGAAGATGCTCAGCCCAAAGCGTGCTCCGGGGAAAGGCTGGTCGGCCCGCAGTCAGTCTGGTTCCTCCTAGGCTCGGTCAGTAACCATTTATGAAGCGCCTACTGTATGACAGGCATGGTGCTAAGCGCTGAGGATGCTAAAAGGGGCAAAAGACAGTTCCTGCCCTCAGGGAGCTCGCAATCTAATGAGGGAGACCATGTGTAAAAAAAAACCAAAAACAAAACAAAAACAAAAACACAGACAAGGCAAGCTCTATGCAGGACAAACGGAGGGAAGGCGTTGGAATTAGGACGGGCTGGGGAAGGCTTCCTGCAGAAAGGGGGGATTTTGTCGTTGTTATTTGTCCTTCCTTCCCAAAGAGGACCATGACATCAGGCTGGTGATGCCATGACATGCAAGTGTGAGGGAGGGTTGTGCAAAGTCACCAGCCTCACTTTCTCCCCGAGAGCCATCTGGGTCCAGTGTCATGACATAGGTCAAGACGACCGGGGATTCCTCCCCCCCACCCCCAAGGGGGAGACTTAAGTTGGGACTTAAAGGAAGCCGGAGAGGTCAGGAGTCAGAGAGAAGGAGGGAGAGAGCCTTCCAGGCACGGGGACAGTCAGAGAGAATGCCCACAACCCAGAGATGAGGGTTCTTGTTCCTGGAACAACCACGAGTCACTGAATCCAGGAGTACGTGGACGGCAGAAGGTGTGAGAAGGCTGGAAAAGCAAGGGGGGGGGGGGGTAGATTATGAAGGACTTTGAATGCCAAGTAGAACATTTTGTATTTTATCCTGGAGGCGAGTGGGACTTACTGGAGTTTACTGAGTAGGGGAGGTGACATGCTTCGATTTAGAAAAATCACTTTAGTGGCAGAATGGAGGATGGAGTTGGGGGAGAGTTGAGGCACGCAGGCCCCCTAGCAGGCTATTGCCATAAGCTCGGATGGGAGGTGAGGGAGGGTGGGGATACTGCCCCAGGATGGGAGCAGTATCAGGATTCGGAGATAGAGCAAAGGTGAAACCCACAGGTGTTGGCAACAGCTTGGATGTTGGGGGGAGGGGTTGAGATAGTGAGGAATCCAGCCTGGAAGGATGGAGGGAATGTGTGGGGGGGGGGGTGTTTAAGGGGTAAGATACTGAGTTCTGTTTTGATGTGTTGAGTTTAAGATGTCTACTGGACATCTAGTTTGAGATGTCTGGACGGCAGTTGGAGGTTAGCTGAGAGGTTAGGGCAGTGCAGGTATATTTGAGAATCGTCAGCATAGAGATGGTCATAGGAGCTGACGAGTTCACCAAGTGAAATAATGTAGAGGGAGAAAGAGAAAAGGACATGTACAGGATGCAGGAAAGGAGACTGAGATAGGTCAGATAGGGAGGTGGAAAAGCGTGAGAGTGTAGTGTCCCAAAACCTAGAGAGGAGAGAGTGATAGGCAGTATCTAAGGCCGCAGGGAGGGGGAGAAGAATGAGGATTCAGAAGAAAAGCCATCAGATTTGGCATTTAATGGATTATTGATCACCTGAGGGAGACAGCAGTTTCAGGGGAATGAGAAGGTCAGAAGCCAGATTGTGAGGGGTGAAGAAGAGAGGGAGATGAGAGAAAATGGAGGCACGGATTGTAGACGGCCTTTTCAAGTTTAGCCACAGTGGGGAGAATAGATAAAGGACAATAATTAGCAGGGATGGAAGAATCAAGTGAAGAATTTTTTTTAAATGAAAAAATTTCTCAGAGTGGGGGAGACATGGCTATGTTTATAGGCAGTAGAGAGTGAGCCAGTAAAGAGGGAGAGATTGAAAATAAGTGAAAGAAGGGTTGATCTGTTGGAGGAGAAGGGATGGAATATCAGCCTCCTACGTGAGGTTTTAACTGATTCACACTTCTCCTCCCCCAGCTTCCAGTTCCCCCTAACTCTTAAATTATCTTACACAGTACTAACACTTCAGAGCTATTTTGGGCTTGGTTCCCGGGCCATTGCAATAAAGGGAATTGCAATAAAGCAAAGAATTTTTTGGTTTCCCAGTGTATATAAAAGTTAATATTTAGACTATACTGTAGTCTATTAAGTGTGCAGTAGTTTTGTCTAAAAAACACAATGTACATGCCTTAAAAATACTTTATTGCTAAAAAATGCTAAGCATCTGAGCCTTCAGCAAGTCAAAATCTTTTTTTTTTTTTTTGGCTAGCTATGGGATTAAGTGACTTGTCCAAGGTCACACAGCTAGTAAGTGTTAAGGGTCTGAGGCAGCATTTGAACTCAGCTCCTCTTGACTCCAGGGCCAGTGCTCTATCCACTGTGCCACCTAGCTGCCCCAAGTCGTAATATTTTTGCCAGTGGAGGTTGTTGCCCCAGTGTTGAGGGCTGTTGACTGATCGAGTTTGTGGTGCTGAAGGGTGGGGGGCTGTGGCAATTTCTTAAGACAACAGTGAAGTTTGCCAAATAGATTGATTCTTCCTTTCACTTGAACACTTAGAGGCCATTGGAGGGTTATTAATTGGCCTAATTTCAATATTATTGAGGCCCAGAAAGTAAGGAGAGAGACAGGAAATGGCCATTGGGTGGAGCAGTTAGAACACATACAACATTTATGGATTGTTCACCATCTTATATGGGTGAGGTTTATGGCACCCCCAAAACAATTACAATAGTAACATCAAAGATCACTGATCACAGATCAACATAAAGATATAATAATGGTGAAAAAGTTTGAAATATTGTGAGAATTACCAAAATGTGACATAGAAATGCAATGTGAGCACATTATTGGAAAAAGAGCACCTAAAGACTTGCTCCACTCAGGGTTGCCACAAACCTTGAATTTGTAAAAATAAATAAGTAAAATCAATGCAAGGAAGCTCAATAAAACAAAGCACAATAAAACAAGGTATGCCTGTATTTACTTTAGTAGATGGAGAGCTGGTCTTGGGCCCAGAAAGACCTGTCATCTTTATCACATCCTGGCTCTGTCACCTGGCACAAATCTCAGCTTCTCAACTCCTCAAGACTAAAGGTTTCAGAAGGTCACAACCTACATTAATAGATAGAATTTCTTCATCTGGGAGTTTCCATGCCAATAAACCCTAAGTCCAGACCCTCACCCTAATAGCATGTTGTCTCCTCCAATAAAATATAAGCTCCTTGAGAGCAGGAATAAACATCTTTGTATTCCCAGTACCTGACACGTAAGTAGGCACTTCTTAGTAAATAGTTGTTGCTTGTTATACCTTATGGGCAGGTCACTACTTTGGGATTGCTTTTATAAAGAAGATAAATCACCCTATTATAATAAGAAGTTTATATCAATCCTAGGTGCATTAAGAACCAGTGGTTCCTTTTGCTGCTGTTTTGGGGAGTTTGTTTTAGATGAGGAGTTAAATTCATGTTCACCTGCAATCTCTCCAAGCCCCCAGGTAGGAAAATTCCTAAAATTTAGCCAGAAATTGTGCTTTGTGCCAAAATTTACATGTATATCTTTTTCTAGTTATCCCCTGGCTTCTTTGTGGTTGAGCTAAATTCAGGTTACTGGAAAATTTTAGGTAATGAAATGGTACATTATAAGACAGGGCCCAGGATTGGAAGAGCACAGCTTTCCTTGGGACCTCCCTCCATCCTTGAGTAAGAGGGTGTGGTGGTGAGGGTCTTCACCAGCTCTGGTTTTCTGCTTCCCAGTACCTGTAGACCCGATAATCATCCTCTATGTTTCTTTTCTGTCATACCTCAGTCCTTTTTCCTCTTTTTGTTTCTAGTTCTTGGCTTGGCACCATAGGACCCAATTCCTTCCTCTCTTATAAGAATCTTTATCTGGTTCTTGAGGTAGCTCCTCCCTTTTTTTGTTTTTAAACAAATTCATTAGAGTTTGACCAAGCCTTTCAGAGAAATAGCTTTGATTGATTCAAGGAGGTGTTTTAACCCTGTTCACATAGTTATGAGTTTTTTCCTAACAAAATAAGTACTTTTAAGTGGGTGGGATAATAAATGGAACCCTGACCCTGATACAAAATCAAAAAGAAAACAATTTCTGTCTTGGTATATAGATTAAGTAAACTGAGATTGAGATGAAGTTGTCTCTCTTTCAATTCCCCTTCTATCCTTCTATTATGGACTATAAGAACAGCTACCCAAAATTATTTAGAAGAGAAAGAGACACAATCCATAAAAGAACCTCAGGTTCAGAGAGGATCCCATGTGCCAAAGCTTCTTTGGCTGGTGGCTTAAGGCCTAAGCTACCTTGATGGAAGGTTTTATTGACCATCTTGAAAGAAGGTGTTTTCCCATAGAAAGAAGTTGGTTGAACTCATACTTAATAAATTTGACCTTGAGAAACCATTGATGGGCCCACAAGATTGTCCTATTTCCTGTTCTGTACCCATCTGGATAGTTTGGAACAGGTTAAGTCTTGCGGAACATCTCTACTGAGAGAGAGGTTAGGTTCCAAGTCCTTTTATTCATTAACTCTTTTTTACTCATTAATCCCCAGCCCACTGCCTCAGAGGCAAATTAATTTATAGCAAATTAACTTATCTCATGTCTAAGGTTTCCCCTAAAAGGAAGCTTCAAAAGGTACTCAGTGCTCTTTATAAATCAGACATGGTACAGGCAATTTATTCCTGTATACA